AACATTCACACTCGCCTCCAACAGACAAGATTTATTTCTCCCACTCTTAACATTCCACAGATATATAAACCCCACTTGCCTAGTTTCCAACAGACCTCACAATTTCTGAGGATGCCTGCAATAGATGTGGGTGAAATGTCAGGAGAGAATGCTTCTGGAACATGGCCAGACAGCCCAGAAAACTCATAGCAACCTATCTATTCCTGTCCTTTGCACAGCAAGGCTGTTGGGCTAGACAACTTCAAATGTGCGCTTTTAATTTTATTGTAGTGCTTTTTTTTCTACTGGCCGTTTTCAAAGGCACATTTTTGTTATGTGCCTTCAGGGGCTTTTCTTGGCTAGATCTATTCAGTGGATGCTTGCTTTTGCCTTCTGACTCTCTGGGTTGGTGCTCATCTCCATTTCTAAGCTGAAGAGCCAGCGTTGTCCATAGACACCTCCAAGGTCATGTGGCCAGCATGACTGCATGGAGCACCGTTACCTTCCCGTTGGAGTGGTACCTATTGATCTACTTACATTTGCATGTTTTCGAACTGCTAGGAGCTGTTTAGCCATTTTTATAAAAGCCTGACTGCAAAGAAAAGACTCAAAAGCTGCAATTTTGGGTTAAATGTTTTTAAAATTGCCTAAACCCAGGTCATCCTAGTGACATATTTGGCCCCTTGCCCACTGACCCTCCTGTTCCCAGCCTTTCTTTCCTCTCTTCTCAAACAATATGAGATTAGAAAACAATATACCGGGTTCACTTCTGCCTTGTTTCAGGCCTGGCTTGATAAAGCCTCCCGTTCCTGAAATGCAGTACATCAACAAACAAGGAAAAGGTCAGCCAGAGAATCTGCCCAACCTTTGGCTTCTTTTTATGGGAAACCAGGAAGGGATGTCGGAGAGAGAAAGTGGGACAGAGAAGATTTACACCCTCTGGTTCTGAGATTATTTATTCCCTTGGCTTATTCAGTGTGCAAACACTTGATTGAGGTCTTCTGAGCATAAGCAGGGTGCCCTTCTTCCAGATTCTGAGGAATGCTTAAACACTAAAAGAGACACAGAATTGACTTGTGAAATGGCCATGTCCTAGAAGCATTCTCTCCTGACGTTTTGCCTGCATCTATGGCAAGCATCCTCAGAGGTTGTGAGGTCTTAGGAAAAACTTCCTAACTGTGCAAGAAACCTGTTCAGCAGTGGAACTCTCTGCCCAGGAGTGTGGTAGAGGCTCCTTCTTTGGAAGCTTTGAAACAGAGGCTGGAGGGCCATCTCTTGGGAGAGCTTTGAATGTGATTAAGCGGCTGAGGGGGGAAAGGAAGGGGCCTGAGGCTGTTAGGAATGGTGGGAGTTGAAGTCCAAAACACCTGGAGGAGCGCCCAAGTTGGCCCATACCTGTTCTAAGCTCTAGCAATAAACTGCTCTCTCGTTTGAGCTGGAGATTTGCACCCAAGCCCTTTAATCTTGCCTGCAGCCGATCTCCCACCCAAAAAAAGAATCTGGAGAATTCATACCTTCATCTCCCACCCAGAGAATTATGATTGGCAGGGGTCTCGTTTTGCCACATTTCTAGGTGGAACAAAGCTGCACCTGCTGCATTTCTGCCTTAAACTGTTAAGGTCCAGCTATCATAACAGACGAGAGGGTTCGGAATAGCAACAGGACTCTTTGATCCTAAGTAGCCGCAGAATTTCTCAGCGGGGAAATGTGCGCTCAGAAGAACTCTTGTTTTGTGCATCCTTTGTCCAAACTCCGGTAACCGGGCATACTTGAGCAGAGGGATGGATGGAAGTGGCATCTAGGGTGGAGGAAACAAACAAACAAGCATTTGAATGGAATGAGGACATGGGGAAAGTGGCTGGATTGAGACGTCAAGAGCCGAGCCAGAAAGGAAGGCTTGCCCACAATGGGGATCCAATGGAGAATGAAAGGGCTAAGACGCTCGGAGGGATGTGTGCCGAGCCCAAGGGAGAGGCACATTCCTCTTGGCAGACGAATGGAACCAGGAGTTGAAATCGGAGAAGGCAGTTCAACAAGGAGGCAAAGAGTTGGGTCAGCAGGGCATGGAAGTCAGCCGGAAAGATGCCAGTCCTGCCTTTTGGAGTGAAATGTTTGGACTTACTCACTGAGAGCCCTCCATCATCAAAGCAAAATATGATGAACTGACCTGATCTCAAAAGATGGGGTCACCTGGCTGCTATCTAGCCAACCATCACTGTTGTCCACCCTTTGGCTATAGCAGGTCCCCAACTACCGTATATACTCGAGTATTAGCCGACCCGAATATAAGCCGAGGCACCTAATTTTATCACAAAAATATGATAAAACGGATTGATTTGAGTATAAGCCGAGGGTGGGAAATGAAGCTGCTATGGGTAAATTGCAGAATAAAAATAGATACCAATTAAATTACATTAATTGAGGAATCAGTAGGTTAAATATTTTTGAATACTTACAAAAATGGTAATTTAAGATAAGACTGTCCTACTCTGATTAAATGATTATTTACCTTCTTCAATGTAAATGTGCTTACATATCCTTCCAATAATAATAGAATAACATAATAAATGTAATAACAATAATAAAAAGAGTAAAATAATGAATGTAGCAATAACAATTATACAGTAAAATGATAAATGTATAATAATAGAGTAAAATGATAAATGTAATAATAATAAATAGAATAAATTAATAAATGAAATGAAAATAATAATTACAGACTAAAATAATAAATAATCTTGACTCGAGTATAAGCCGAGGGGGACTTTTTCAGCCTAAAAAAGGGCTGAAAAACTAGGCTTATACTCGAGTATATACAGTAATTGGGAAACCATGCAAGTAGCCAATTAGGATTTAAAAAGGTAACTAAACAAGGTTTGGAATAATAATAATAATAATAATAATAATAATAATAATAATAATAATAATAAGAACAACAACAACAACAACAACAACAACAACAACAACAACAATCACGCCAAATACCTCTGGGACTTCCGAATTCAGACAGACAGAGTTTTGGAGCACAATACTCCTGACCTCACAATAGTGTTAAAATACAAAATATGGATGTCACAATCCCAGGTGAGAGCAGGATTGAAGAGAAACAACTAGAAAAGCTGACACGATATGAGGATTTAAAAATCGAACTGCAAAGACTCTGGCACAAACCAGTAAAGGTGATCCCAGTGGTGATCGGCACACTGGGTGCAGTGCCTAAAGACCTTGGCCTGCACTTAAACACGATTGGCACTGACAAAATTACCATCTGCCAGCTGCAGAAGGCCACCTTACTGGGATCTGCACGCATTATTCACCGATACATCACACAGTCCTAGACCCTCGGGAAATGTCCGACATGTGATCCAATTCAACAGCCAGCAGAGTGTCTGCTGTGGACTCATCTTATTATGTTTCTAATAATAATAATAATCTTTATTTATATTCCGCTCTATCTTCCCAAAGGGACTCAGGGTGGATTCCAAACATTAAAAGGCAAGCATTCAATGCCCGAATACAACAACAATACATCCATACTAACAAAATTCATACAACCCAACATATAAATACGAATTATAACATAACAAACTAAAATTAAATAAAAAGCGCAGCCTGTTATAACAAAACATCAAACATCAAATGGAAACATTAATTTCCCATTTCTTTGGGGCAAATCGATTAATCGTTGCTCAAGATATCTATTGAGCTGGTGGGGTGAGCAGGGCACGGATATGGATGGCAACTATTAATCAGAGGTATAATGGTAGTATTACCAACTACTATTCCTCCTCCTCGTAAGCTAGTGAGCAAAGGTGTGTCTTCAGCTGTTTTTTGAAAGCAGGGAGGGAGGGGACCATCTTTAACTACTTAGGAAGGGAGTTCCAGAGGTGGGGGGCAGCCACGGAAAGGCCCTTTCTCTTGTTCCCACCAACCGTGCTTGGGACGGGGGTGGGACTGAGAGGAGGGCCTCCTCCAATGACTGCAGTGTCCGAATTGGTCTGTGGAGGGAGATGTGGTTTGTCAAATAGTCTGGACCTAACTGATCATAGTTTCAGAATGTAACCAATCAGGGTTTAATCAGGTAACTAATCAGGGGGTTTTATTATTATTTATTTCCTATATTTATACCCTGCCCATCACCATAAAACATTCAACAATACATTAAAATATTAAAAACAGTAATTAAAAATTAATTAAAACATGCCTGCTAGCAGGTCAGGGTTTTCTGGTAGCCAGTAAGGGTTTAAGAAGATAACTCAATTGGAGTTTGAGCAGGTAGCCAATCAAGATTTTCAGCAATTCCTAAGATAATTCCAATGTTCTATTGGGGCCCCGGTGGTGCAACGGGTTAAACCGCTGAGCTGCTGAACTTGCTGACTGGAAGGTTGGCAGTTCGAATCCGTGGGATGGGGTGAGCTCCCGCTATTATCCCTAGCTCCTGCCAACCTAGTAGTTCAAAAGCATGCAAATGTATTTATTTATTTATTGTGTCAGGGGCAGATCAAACAGTTGCATTGCATGCAAATGTGAGTAGATCAATAGGTACTGCCTTGGCGGAAAAGTAAACAGCGCTCCATGCAATCATGCGGGCCACATGAGATGCTTACGGACAACACAGGATCTTCAGCTTGGAAATGGAGTTGAGCACCTCCCTCAGAGCCAGAGATGAAAGGGGAAGCCTTTGCCTTTGTCTGTGTATTTGTGATTCAAGGCATTGGATGTTTGCCTGTGTCTGTATGTATGCTGGAATCCGCCCTGAGTCCCCTTGGGGAGATAGGGTGGAATACAAATAAAGTGTTGTTGTTGTTGTTGTTGTTGTTATTACTGAGCAAAGCTTGGTGCTCTTTCAGACTGCAATTTTCAAGAGTTGAAGGCAATTCTGGGAACTTCTGTATCTGTTTTGTTCTTCATGGCACCTGGCCAAGGTCACACACTGATTCATTTCTATCTGCATTATAAGGAATGTGGAAGAAGTTCCCTCCTGTCTCCGCCGGCCTCTTAATGTCTTGTTTCTTTGGCAGGTCCCAACCCACAGGTCGCCAAGAAGACACACATTTTGGTGCCCCTGGGAAGCTCTGAGTTGGGCTGGTCAGCAGAGTTGAAAGACACCGGCACCAACACCATGACTCTCCGAGTCAACACCTCGCCCGATGCGGTGATTGGGAAGTACCAGTTCAGCATCAAGACACGGAGCACAGCGGGCGAGTATCAGGCGCCGTTCGACCCTCGCTATGAGATCTACATCCTCTTCAACCCATGGTGCCCTGGTGAGTACCCCAACAGGAAAGTAATGTGCCTATTTAATAATAATAATAATAATTTTTTGTCATGTCTGGAGCGACTTGAGAAACTGCAAGTCGCTTCTGGTGTGAGAGAATTGGCCGTCTGCAAGGACGTTGCCCAGGGGACACCCGGATGTTTTTGATGTCTTTATCATCCTTGTGGGAGGCTTCTCTCATGTCCCCGCATGAGAAGCTGGAGCTGATAGAGGGAGCTCATCCGCACTTTCCCCAGATTCGAACCTGTGGCCTGTCGGTCTTCAGTCCTGCCGGCACAGGGGTTTAACCCACTGTGCCACTGGGAGCTCCAATAATAATAATAATAATAATGGGTTGTTGTAAGTTTTTTCGGGCTATATGGCCATGTTCTAGAGGCATTCTCTCCTGACGTTTCGCCTGCATCTATGGCAAGCATCCTCAGGATGCAGGCGAAACGTCAGGAGAGAATGCCTCTAGAACATGGCCATATAGCCCGAAAAAACCTACAACAACCCAGTGATTCCGGCCATGAAAGCCTTCGACAATACAATTATTATTATTATTATTATTATTATTATTATTATTATTTATACCCTGCCACCATCTGTGGTGTGGTAGAGGCTCCTTCTTTGGAGACTTTTAAACAGAGGCTGGATGGCCATCTGTCAGGAGTGCTTTGAATGAGATTTTCCTGCTTCTTGGAGGGGGTTGGACAGGATGGTCCATGAGGTCTCTTCCAACTCAAGGATGCTGTGTTTCTCCCAAAGGGACTTGGGGCCTCTCACAAAGCAGGCAAGGTGCAAACACACAAAACACAACAAGTGCATAAACAATAACACAAAAGCAATAACAAGCGACATAACATCATAAACCCTACTGGTTAAAAATCAATAAAACGTAGCAATATGAAACAAACTGCAAACAATATCAATCTCATAAAGTGCAAGGTGATATTATCTCTTGGCACTCGAATATGTTCAGTAAGGATTTCTAAACATGGTCCAAGGCTTGTCTAAAAAGCCATGTCTTCAATTGAGTCTGGAAGGCTTGCAGAGTGGAGGCTAGCCTGATCTCAATGGGATGGGATGCTGTATCCGCTCCGGGTTTTAGTCTGAACTTTAGAGCTTGCTCTGTGATCTAGAAATGCACTTGGCTAGGCATTTCTCATGATTGTACAGTCAAGTTCAGGTCAGAGGGATAGGTCATCACCTGTCCCATGGCACAAAGCTCAGTATCCCGCTCTGGATTTTAGTCTGAAATTTAGAATGAGCTCTACGACCTAGAAATGCACTTTGCTGAGCATTTCTCATGATTGTACAGTCAAGTTCTGGTCAGAGGGATGGGTTATCACCTGTCTCGTTGCACAAAATACCATACCTTGGGGAAGAATGTCAACATTGCTTTCTTTGAAAGGCAAGGCTTTGTTTTCCCTGGAAAGGACCAGGAGGTGAGGCTGGGTTGCTTTTTTGTCCTTTGCTTCCAGTCTCAGCTTCCTTCCTGACCTCCGACGGAGAAAACATGCAAAAGATCAGGAGTGTTCGGGTGGGAAAGAAAACCTTTTATCTTGGGCGGAAAAGCGATGGAATTGAAATCACAAAAGAAAAGAAATCTCTTGGCCAAGAAGCAAGGTGGAAAAGTCAAACCAGCAGTCCCGGGAGAACAAATGATAATAATTTATCTGCTCATTTATTTGTGCAATTTAGACCTCATTAAAGAATCCCAGGTGACTTAGGCAGGATTCACACTAGTAAATAGTACAATTTGAACTGCATTATATGGTCAGTGTATAGGATCATAGTATCATTGAGTTGGAAGACACCTCGTGGACCATCCAGTCCAACCCCTTTCTGGAAAATTGCATTCAAAGCATCCCTGACAGATGGCCATCCAGCCTCTGCTTAAAAGCCTCCAAAGAAGGAGCCTCCACCACACCCCGGGGCAGAGAGTTCCACTGCTGAACAGCTCTCAAAGTCAGGAAGTTCTTCCTAATATTCAGATGGAATCTCCTTTCTTGTAGTTTGAAGCCCCCTGTGCCGGCAGGACTGAAGACCGACAGGTCGCAGGTTTGAATCCGGGGAGAGGTGGATGAGCTCCCTCTATCAGCTTCAGCTCCTCATGCGGGGACATGAGAGAAGCCTCCCACAAGGATGATAAAAACATTAAATCATCCAGGCGTCCCCTGGGCAACGTCCTTGCAGACGGCCAAGTCTCTCACACCAGAAGTGACTTGCAATTTCTCAAGTCGCTCCTGACACGACAAAAAAAAAGTTTGAAGCCATTGTTTGGTCCTAGTCTCCAGGGCAGCAGAAAACAAGGTTGTTCCCTCCTCCTTATGATTTCCCCTCACATCTTTATCCATGACCCTCATCATGATTCTTCTCAGCCTTCTCTTCTTCAGGCTAAACGTGTCCAGCTCTTTCAGCCGCTCCTCATAGGGCTTGTTCTCCACACCCTTGATCCTTTGAGTTGCCCTCCTCTGGACACATTCCAGCTTGTCAATATTCTCCCTTTAATTGTGGTGCCCAGAATTGGACACAGTGTGATTCCAGGTGTGGTCTAACCAAGGCAGAATAGAGCATGGGTAGCATGACTTCCCTGGATCTAGACCCTATACTCCTATTGATGCTAGGCACTCCTCACTATGACTTCCCCTAATACATGGCCCTCATCATGTCTCCTCTCAGCCTTTTCTTCTGCAGGCTAAACATGCCCAGCTCTTTAAGCCGCTCCTCATAGGGCTTGTCCTCCAGACCCTTTACCGTTTTAGCCGCTCTCCTCTTGACACATTCCAGCTTGTTGAGATCTCTCTTCAATTGTGGTGCCGAGAATTGGACACAGTATTCCAGGTGTAGTCTAACCAAGGCCAAATAGAGAGGCAGCATGACTTCCCTGGATCTAGACTCTATACTCCTATTGATGCAGGCCAAAATCCCATTGGCTTCTTTTGCTGCCGCATGACATCGTTGGCTCATGTTTAACTTGTTCTCCACGAGGACTCCAAAGAGCTTTTTCCCACATACTGCTATCAAGCCAGGCTTCCCCATGTAGACCCATATAATGCAGTTGTAAGTGCAGTTCAGTCTACATTACAGGAATCTACACTGTCCATTGAAGGCACACAACAGGAACAACACAAGAACAACTATTGCATCTTCACCAGGCCTGGGCAAACTTGGGCCTCCCAGGTGTTTTGGATGTCAACACCCACAATTCATAACAGCCGGTACTTAGGAATTGAAGTCCAATACACCTGGAGGAGCCAAGTTTGCCCACGCCTGATCCACACAGACTGTAGAACAAATGCTGTTTGATGCTATGGCTCAATGCTATGGAAATGGTTCTTTTTGCGTTGTTCTTGTTGTGTGACTTCAAGCCATTTCCGATCTGTGGCCATCCAAAGGAGACCCTGTCCAACAAATAGCATACTATTTGCTGAATGTGTAGATCAGAGGTTCTCAACCTGTGACTCCTCAGGTGTTTTGGCTTACAACTCCCAGAAATCCCAGCCAATTTACCAGCTTTTAGGAGTTCTGGGAGTTGAAGGCCAAAACATCTGGGGACCCCAGGTTGACAACCACTGGTGTAGAACATTTAAGAAACACCCTAAAGCTCCACCCTGTTCCTTTATCTCCTGCTCTTAGACGATCCTGTTTACCTGGAAAAGACCAGTTGGCTAGACGAATATGTACTGAACGAATCTGGAAGGATCTACTATGGGACAGAAAGTCAGATTGGGGAACGAACGTGGAATTACGCCCAGGTAGGTTTTCTGCCATTTGGGGGTCGGAAAAGAAGAATCAGAGTCTTAGAGAGGAAAGGAAATTAGAAAGGAAATTAGATGAAATATAAGAACTCTCTTTCTTCAGAGTGGAATGGAAATTGAATCTATCTTCAATTCAGTTTCTTCAACCTAGGATGCATCTACACCAGGTTCATCTACACCTACTGGCTGTTAGGAATTGTGGGAATTGAAGTCCAAAACACCTGGAGGGACAAGTTTGCCCATGCCTGATCTACACTATCAAATTAGTGCAGTTTGACACCACATTAAGTGCCATGACTCAGGCCTATCAAATCTTGGGAGCTATAGTTTTCCAAGGCCTTTCGCCATCTCTGCCAAAGAGTGCTGGTGCCTTGTCAAACTACAACTCCCAGAATTCCATAGCTTTGAGCCATTGCTTTTAGAGTGGGGTCAAACTGTATTAATTTGACAGTGTAGATCAGGCATGGGCAAGCTTTGGCCCTCCTTAAGCGGCTGAGGGGGAAATGAAAGGGTCTGAGGCTGTTAGGAATTGTGGGAGTTGGAGTCCAAAGTACCAGGAGGGTCAAAGTTTGCCCATGCCTGGTGTAGATGCATTCACAGGCTTTATTTGGCAATTGGAAAGGTATTCTCACCTTCAAAACCAGGAATTTCAGTATTGGATTACAGCTTTTGGAGACCAGGGTTCAAATTCCTTAGTCTCCAACTTTTCACAGATAGAAACCAAGACAAGCAACATCAATGTGTGAACAAAATAACAAAAAAATATTTATGGGGAATTGCACACAATCTTGAAGATGTGACAGCAGTTTGCTTTTGCCTAAATTTACTGGGAAGAGCCTCCCTTTACCTAAAAACGAGGCTGGTCCTGTATCAAGGTGTAAAACCTCTCTTGCAGATCCTAAATTATACCTTCTCTCTTGCCTGCAGTTTGACCACGGGATCTTAGATGCCTGCCTCTTCATGCTGGACCAGCGTGGGATGCCTCATGCAAGTCGCGGAGACCCCATCATGGTCTCCCGCGTTGTCTCTGCCATGGTGAGTTACAGCTCTGGGACCGCATTCTCTTAATGTGTTTTCTCCTTCTGCTTTCTCCCAATCTTGCACCCTTTCTGTCAACATGCCAACCTTGCGAGGTAGGCTTATCCAAGGGAATAGCTGCCTTAAGGACTGAGAAAAATTTCAAACACAAGTCATCTCCAATCCTACCAAGGAATCAACAATATCTTTGCCATCTAGAGACAATATATTTTTTAATATATGTAATACTGTGTCCAGTTCTGGGTACCACAATTGAAGGGAGATGTTGACAAGCTGGGATGTGTCCAGAGGAGGGTGACTAAAAGGATCAAAGGTCTGCAGAACAAGCCCTATGAGGAGTGGCTTAAAGAGCTGGGCATGTTTAGCCTGCAGAAGAGAAGGCTGAGAGGAGACATCATAGCCATGTATAAGTATATAAAAGAAGTCATAGGGAGGAGGGAGCAAGCTTGTTTTCTGCTGCCCTGGAGACTAGGACTCAATGGAGCAATGGCTCAAACTACAAGAAAGGAAATTCCACCTGAACATTAGGAAGAACTTTCTGACTGTGAGAGCAGTTCAGCAGTGGAACTCTCTGCCCCAGAGTGTGGTGGAGGCTCCTTCTTTGGAGGTTTTTAACCAGAGCCTGGATGGCCATCTGTTGGGGGTGCTTTGAATGGATTTTCCTGCTTCTTGGCAGAAAGGGGTAGGACTGGATGGCCCATGAGGTCTCTTCGAACTCTATGATTCTATGATGAGGTTGCTCTAGATGCAGAGGGGACAATGTGGTTCATGTTCAGTCGATTAGAGGGATAAAAGTGTCAAGTATAGAATCTGTAGCCAGATGAAGCAATGTTGGAATTAGGTCAAGATCTCGTCTTAAATTCCTGGATGCCTTGCCTTGGATAGATTCCTGAATTAAGTACCTTGTTATTTCATGGTGACGTGCTTTGTTTGATTAACGCTCAAGTACTTTAGGGTTTGTGCCTTGGAAGAAAGGGGTAGGACTGGATGGCCCACGAGGTCGCTTCAAACTCTATGATTCTATGATACTAAATTAACTACCTTGTCCATGCTTTGCCAGAAATAAGGTCGATTGAGGTCATGGGGAACGTATCCCCAAAATGATTATGCACCAGAGGATGGCCTTAAGTCCTTTACATATTTGAGAAGTATATACATTAGCCAATATCATCTAACTAACACATACAGATCTGGAAAGGAAACCCAAACTTGTACGACTGGCTCATCCTGCTTTGTTGTTTCCCCATTTGGTTGGGAGTTCCAGAGATGGAAAAGATCCATATAGGAATATTTAATCAGTCTTGGCGTAGTGTGTTTTCAGCTTGCCGCCGGTAAATTGCAGCAACTGCTTTCCTGTATTGAGAAAGAGAACATCCCTCCCTGATTGGCTTCCGATGCATTCCCTGTCAGCTTTCCTTTCTTTGATCCTGGATCAGCTTCCTCCCCCATCTAGTCCTATTGCCACATCTCTCCTTTCCATATGTAAATGGCGCTGTATGGCTTTGGTGTCATCACAGCTCACATTTTGGAAATGAATCATTGCTACCATATACATATATCAGGCGTGAACAAGCTTTGGCCCTCCAGATGTTTTGGACTTAAAGGGCCAAAGTTTGCCCATACCTGATATATACTTATTGTTGGAGTTCAGCCTATAATTGTGTCAAATGATCAGGGTACTCTGGATGATGGGAGTGACAATGAGGTTCATGTGTCTTAATGATGATGATGATACTGTGTCCAATTCTAGGCATCACAATTGAAGGGAGATGTTAACAAGCTGGAATGTGTCCAGAGGAGGACAACTAAAATGATCAAGGGTCTGGAGAACAAGCCCTATGAGGAGCGGCTTAAAGAGCTGGGCATGTTTAGCCTGAAAAGAGAAGGCTGAGAGGAGACATGATGAAGGCCATGTGTAAATATGTGAGCGGAACTCAGGGAGGAGGGAGCAAGCTTATTTTCTGCTCCCCTGGAGACTAGGACGTGGAACAATGGGTTCAAACTACAGTAAAGGAGATTCCATCTGAACATTAGGAAGAACTTTCTGACTGTGAGAGCTGTTCAGCAGTAGAACTCTCTACCCTGGAGTGTGGTGGACGCTCCTTCTTTGGAGGCTTTTAAACAGAGGCTGGATGGCCATTTGTCAGGGGTGATTTGAATGTGATTTTCCTGCTTCTTGGCAGAATGGGGTTGGATTGGATGGCCCATGAGGTCTCTTCCAACTCTTTGATTCAATGATTCTATGATTCTATATGCAGAGAGGGGCAATGTGGTTCATGTTCAAAGTGACTCTTCTGATTGGAATGTTCCTGAAGGGTTTGGGGATGATGGTGTGTTCCCTGGGCCTGGATTGTTACCAGAGGGTTCCCAAGGCCTTGAGCTGGTGAAAGGCTTGGCATGGGTCCAGCTGCAGAAATTAATGAACCAGTGAACAGAAGTGTTTTCAGTCAGCGGAGACTGATAGGAGATTCAAGTCTGAGAAGAAATCCGTTCTTGGCCACTTGGGATATACAGTAGATTAGAGGGATAAAAGTTCCGTTTTCCGTTCTTGAGTTCGGAGTAAAGCAACTGCTTTTGGAGATGGTGGCTGAGCATCCAGACAACGTGGCCAGTCCAGCGGAGTTGATGGTGGAGGACCATCGCTTCAATGCTGGTAGTCTTTGCTTCTTCCATCACGCTAACATCCACTTGTCTACCCAAGAGATTTGCAGGATTTTCCAGAGGCAGCGCTGATGGAATCGTTCCAGGAGTTGCATGTGACATCTGTAGATAGTCCATGTCTTGCAGGCATATAGCTGGATTGAGAGGACAATAGCTTTATAAACAAACACCTTGGTATCCCTGAGGCAGCGCTGATGGAATTGTTCCAGGAGTTGCATGTGACGTCTGTAGATAGTCCACGTTTCACAGGCATATAGCAGGGTTGGGAGGACAATAGCTTTATAAACAAACACCTTGGTATCCCTACCGATGTCTCAGTCCTCAAACACTCTCTGCTTCATTAGGAAAAATGCTGCACTCGCAGAGCTCAGGCACTGTTGTTTTTCAGTGTCAATCTTGACTTTTGTGGAGAGGTGGCTGCCAAGGGAGCGGAAATGGTCAACATTTGTTAATGTTACATGATTAAGCTGTATTTCTGGCATTGCAGAGATAAAGAGTAGGAGAAGGATGATGTTGGAAAGGCAACGCGGATGGAATCATTCCAGGAGTTGAATGTGACATCTGTAGACAGTCCACGTTTCACAAACATATAACAGGGATAGGAGGACAATACCTTTATAAACAAACACCTTGGCCTCCCTACGGATGTCCCGGTCCTCAAACACTCTCTGCTTCATTAGGAAAAATGCTGCACTCGCAGAGCTCAGGCACTGTTGTTTTTCAGTGGCAGTCTTGACTTTTGTGGAGAGGTGGCTGCCAAGGGAGCAGAAATGGTCAACATTTTCTAATGTTACACCGTTAAGGTGTATCTCTGGCATTGCAGAGGGATTGGCTGGTGACTGCTGGAAGAGCTCTGGTTTTCTCGATGTTCGATGACAGGCCGAGCTTCTCGTATGCTTCTGCAAAGGTGTTTAGAGTGGCTTGTAGGTCTTCTTCTGAATGTGCACAGATGATGTTGTCATCAGCATACTGGAGTTCTATAACAGATGTTGTTGTAACCTTGGTTTTGATGGGAACTAGGGTCGGCTTCCTCCCCATCTAGTCCTATTGCCACATCTCTCCTTTCCATATTTAAATGGTGCTGTATGGCTTTAGTGTTATCACAGCTCGCATTTTGGAAATGAATCATTGCTACCATATATATCAGGCATGAACAAGCTTTGGCCCTCCAGATGTTTTGGACTTAAAGGGCCAAAGTTTGCCCATACCTGATATATACTAGCTGGTGACTGCTGGAAGAGCACTTTGGTTTTCTCGATGTTCAGTGACAAGCCGAGCATTTCGTATGCTTCTGCAAAGGTGTTTCGAGTGGCTTGTAGATCTTCTTCTGAATGTGCACAGATGATGTTGTCAGCAGCATATTGGAGTTCTATAACAGATGTTGTTGTAATCTTGGTTTTGGCTTTCAGTCTGCTGAGGTTAAACAGCTTGCAATCTGTCCAATTGATGATTTCCACTCCGGTGGGAAGCTTCCCATTAACAAGATTAAGTATCATAGCGATGAAGATGGAAAATAAAGTTGGAGCAATAACACATCTGGAGGTTTTTAAGCAGAGGATGGATGATCATCTGTTGGGAGTGCTTGAATGTATTTTCCTACATGGCAAAATGGGGTTGGAATGGGTGATCTTTGGGGTTTCTTCCACCTCTAGGATTTTATTTTACTAGTTGCAAATGGCACTGACTAATTTTTTTCCTTCTCCTGCATTAGGTGAACTCTCTGGACGACAACGGGGTGCTGGTCGGGAACTGGAATGGGGATTATTCCCGAGGCACCAACCCTTCGGCCTGGGTGGGCAGCCGAGACATCCTTCTCAAGTATCTCAAGACCGGCTACCCTGTCCTCTATGGGCAGTGCTGGGTCTTTGCTGGCGTTGTGACCACAGGTAGCCACCATTCGGGGCAATGAGATGGAGAGGACTATTATGGAGAAAAGTGGAGTAGAATAATAGAAGGACTAAATCAGGTATGGGCAAACTTGGGCCCTCCGGGTGTTTTGGACTTCAACTCCCACAATTACTAACAGCCGATAGGCTGTTAGGAATTGTGGGAGTTGAAGTCCAAAACACCCGGAGGGCCCAAGTTTGCCCATGCCTGGACTAAAGAGAAGTAAAAAGAGTGAAGCCTTGTTGTTGCCTTGTGTTCTCATCTTGGTAGTAAATAATAATAATAATAATAATAATAATAATAATAATAATAATAGCTGGAAAAGCTTCCACGATATGAGGATTTAAAGACCTATCTGCAAAAACTCTGGCACAATCCAATCAAAGTGAGTGCAGTGCCTAAAGACCTTGGCCTGCACTTAAAAACAATCGGTGCTGACAAAATTATCATCTATCCGCTGCAAAAGGCCACCCTACTCAGATCTGCACACATTATCAAAGTGGTCCCAGTGGTGTTCAGCACACTGGGTGCAGTGCCTAAAGACCTTGGCCTGCACTTAAAAACAATCGGCGCTGACAAAATTAGCTTCTATCCACTGCAAAGTAGGCCACCCTACTCGGATCTGCACACATTATTCGCTGATACATCACACAGTCCTAGACACTAGGGAAGTGTCCGACGTGCGATCGAATACAAAAGCCAGCATAGTGATCTTGTTTGCTGTGCACTAACCTTGCTGTGTATCAAATAATAATGATAAGACTTTATTTATATTCCTTCCTCTTCCCCGAGGGAACTCAGAGCGGATTACGGCATATATAAGCAGGCACACAGGCAAGCATTCAGTGCCTTGTTGCAATGAAATACAGTGACACACAAATAACACAGACAAAGGCAAAGGCTTCTCCTTTCATTTCCGGCTTCTGGAGGTGACGCTCAACTCCAGCTGTGAGGGAGGTGCTCATTTCCATAGACACCTCCTTGTCATGTGGCTGGCATGACAGCATGGAGCATCTTTTGCCTTTCCCACTGAGGCAGTACTTATTGATCTACTCACATTTGCATGTTTTTGAACTGCTAGATTGGCAGGGGAGCCCTTAGTGACACAGTGGGTTAAAGCACTGAGCTGCTGAACTTGCTGACCCAAAAGTCGCAGGTTCAAATTTGGGGAGCGAGCTCCCGCTGTTAGCCCCAGCTTCTGCCAAGGGGAAGGTAACGGCACTCCATGTAGTCATGTCAACCACATGACCTTGGAGGTGTCTATGAACAAGGCCCGCTCTTCGGCTTAGAAATGGAGATGAGCACCAACCTCCAGAGTCGGACACGACTGGACTTAATGTCAGGGGAAAACCTTTACCTTAGATTGGCAGGAGCTAGGGCTAACAGTGGGAGCTCATCCCGTCCCGCGGATTCGAACAGCTGACCTTCAGTTCAACAGCACAAGAATTTAACCCACAGCCCCATGGCAATGCTACAAACAAAAGACTCCAAGAGCTCAAGGGAACTGCTCAGATTTTGCAAACTCAGAACTGTGGCTGCCTTTATTGTGTAGTATATATGTGTGTTGTTCAGCCTCAGACTTTCCTCCAATTTGGCAGCAATTGGACATCTTTTCGGGTAGAAAAAAATCTGCTGGTTCAATGCATATTGTTGCCCTTGGCTAAGTAGAAGATGCCAGGTGTATATTTCCTTCTCTACCTTTCAGAGTAGAGAAGGGCAGGATATAAATGAAGTAAATTATATAAATAAAAATGTAATGATTGTTTGTGGGATTAACATAACTCAAAAACCAATGGACAAATTGAAAGGAAATTTGGATACAATACACCTATCAGGCCTACAAGTGACCATCACTCATAAAAACACTGAAAAACACAGTGGAAGGGACTTAAAAAGCCTAAAAAGCAAAAAGACTCTACAGCGCATGCATAAAATGACTCCCCTTGGCAAACAAAACACAAAATAGTATATCCGCACTCTCTTCCGGACTACAGCTCCCAGCATCCCCTAGACCAGGCCCTTTTAGAGAGGAGGATGATCCAAATGCACTGCTTCCAAGTTCCAAACTTTCTTCTCCTTCAATTTCTTTGAGAGCATCCCAATCCCTTCATATTTCCAATTTCTTATTCCTGGGCTGCAACTCCCAGCAATCCTCCAGATAGATGACCTAGATTGATGAGATAGAGATGTGATAAGTAGTAGATTGATCAGGAGGACTGCTGGGAGTTGCAGTCCAAGAATATTTATTTATTATTTATTTATTTACTTCTTTTGTATACCGCAAATATCAGCCTAAAAAGGCGACTCGAAGCGGTTTACAATAAAATGTGCAACACTGAACAATCTATATAACAAACATACACAAACAATACACATAAAAATCATCACGCCTCATTAGAATCAGATCTCGATCTCTCAGTCGTATTACCATTCCTTGTTCAATGTGCCGTCATTCCTGAGTCAGTTGTTATTGCATATTTATCCGAACGCCTGTTCGAAGAGCCACGTCTTAACCCTCCTCCTAAACGCCAATAGCGAAGGGGCCTGCCTGATGTCCGCTGGTAGGGCATTCCATAGCCGGGGGGCCACCACTGAGAAGGCCCTGTCCCTCGTTCCCGCCAGCCGCACCTGTGACGCTGGCGGGACCGAGAGCAGGGCCTCCCCAGACGATCTTAACAACCTCGCCGGTTCATAGGTGGAGATGCGTTCGGAGAGGTAAGGGGGGCCGGAACCGTGTAGGGCTTTATAGGCTAAAGCCAGCACCTTGAATTGTGCCCGGTAGCAAATTGGCAGCCAGTGGAGCTGGCTCAGCAGAGGAGTGGTGTGCTCCCTGAGTGCCGCTCCTGTTAGCAACCTGGCTGCCGAACGCTGGACCATCTGAAGCTTCCGGGCAGTCTTCACGGGCAACCCCACGTAGAGCGTTGCAGTAATCTATACGGGATGTGACAAGAGCGTGGACTACCGTGGCCAAGTCCGACTTCCCAAGATACGGGCGCAACTGGCGCACGAGCCGAAGCTGTGCAAATGCTCCTCTGGACACCGCTGAAACTTGGGGTTCCAAGCTTAGCGAAGAATCCAGAGTCACACCCAAGCTGCGAACCTGTGCCTTTAGGGGGAGTGCGACCCCGTCTAGCACAGGCTGTAACCCTATACCCTGTGAATCAATGGAGGAAGGAGAGAAAGTGGAAGGGAAAGAAAAGGGGGGAAGAGGAAGAGAAAGAAGGAGAGAAGGAAAGAAAATAAGGAAGGGAGGGAGGGAGGGAGGAGAGAAGGAAAGAAGGAAGGGAGGGAAGAAGTGAGGAAGGAAGGAAGGAAGGAAAGAAGGAAGGGAGGGAAGAAGTGAGGAAGGAAGGAAAGAAGGAAGGAAGGAAGGAAGGAAGGAAGGAAGGAAGGAAGGAAGGAAAGAAGGAGAGAAAGGAAGGAGGAGAGAAAGAAAGGAGGAGAGAAAGAAAGGAGGAGAGAAAGAGGGAGGGAAGATTGGCCACAGCGAGGCATGGCAGGTACAGTTGGTAAATAATAAATATATGAAATGGCAGATATTTTATGAGATTCTGCAACAGAACATGAGAGGGCCTTTTGGTTGAGATGCTCCTGCTTTCCCTCCAGTGCTGCGTTGCCTGGGCATTGCCACGCGGACGGTCACCAACTACAATTCGGCTCATGACACGGACGTCAGCCTCACCATGGACATCTACTTTGACGAAAACATGAAGCCCCTGGAGCACCTCAATGCGGACTCCGTCTGGTAAGGAAATAAGGACTTATATCCAACTATTGGGCCTTACCAAACTCAATGAGGATTGGATACATCAATCCAATCCCATTGATTCACTTGGTTTGGGACTATACAATTGTACTTTTGTAGCACCAAGGGATCAAGCTCAGATTTGAGACGGTTGCCATCTAACCCAAAATCCACGCTTTCCTTGTCCTGATGCAGGAATTTCCACGTTTGGAACGACTGCTGGATGACGCGACCTGATCTTCCTTCGGGATTTGATGGCTGGCAGGTGGTGGACGCCACTCCTCAAGAGTCCAGTAGTGGTAAGTCAAAGGGAGATTCCTATTCAAAACAAAGGGTAGCAATGGTGATAAGCAAACGTAAGGGAACAGGCTTGTTTTCTGCTGCCCTGGAGACTAGGACGCAATTGAGTGATGGCTTCAAACTACAGGAAAGGAGATTCCACCTGAATATTAGGAAGACCTTCCTAACTGTGGGATCTGTTCAGCAGTGGAACTCTCTGCCTCGGGGTGTGGTGGAGACTCCTTCTTTGGAGGCTTTGAAACAGAGGCTGGATGGCCATTTGTTGGAGGTGCTTTGAATGTGCTTTTCCTGCATCTTGGCAGAATGGGGTTGGACGCCCACGAGGTCTCTTCCAACTCCCTTTCAGAAGAGATACTGGATCTCTAGCCACTGTAGTAACTTCCACATTAACTGGTGGTTCTCAGCCTTTGTTTATCCAGTTGTTTGGGGATTTCAGTTCCCAGAAGCCTCATCTGACATGGTCAATAGTCAGGGATTCTGAAAGATGAAGTTCAAAGCATCTGGAGACCTTTGATTGAGAACCATGGTTGGGTTGTTTACTCGTTCACTAGCACTCCTAGTGGCCAAGGCTAGTATTGCAGCAAGAGTCAATAAGATCCCATTAGACTAGGCATGGGCCAACTTGGGCCCTCCGGGTGTTTTGGACTTCAACTCCTACAATTCCTAACAGCCTACCGGCTGTTGGGAGGTGTAGTTACTGGGATTTATAGTTCACCTACAATCAAAGAGCATTCTGAACTCCACCGCTGATTGAACCAAACTTGGCACACAGAACTTCCATGACCAACTAAATATACTGGAAGGGGTTGGTGGGCATTGACCTTGAGTTTTGGAGTTGTAGTTCACCTACATCCAGAGAGTGCTGTGGACTCAAACAAGGATGGATCTGGACCAAATTTGACACGGATACTCAATATGCCCAAATGTGGACACTGGTGGAATTTGGGGAAAATAGACCTTGATATTTGAGAGTTGTAGTTGCTGGGATTTGTAGTTCACCTACAATCAAAGAGCATTCTGAAACCCACCAACGATAGAATTGGGCCAAACTTCCCACACAGAACCCCCATGAACAACAGAAAATATTGTGTTTTCCGATGGTGTTTGGTGACCCCTCTGACACCCCCTCACGACCCCTCCCCAGGGGTCCCAACCCCCAGGTTGAGAAACACTGATCTGCCTCTCTCTCTCTCTCTCTCTCTCTCTCTATATATATATATATATATATATATATATATATATATATATAGTTTAGCCCAATTCTATAATTCTATTATTGTTTTTTCATTCCTTCTCCCCTCCAGGGATCTTCTGTTGTGGACCCTGCTCTGTTGAGGCCATCAAGAATGGGTTGGTCTACATGAAATACGATGCCTCCTTCTGTTTTGCTGAGGTACGTCTGTATAGGTTTTATGTCTGTTGATATCACCATTAAGTCCTCCGTTGTAACTCTATGGTGGTTGACCATAGAATTGAGCTGTACGACCTGCAAATGCCCAGAGAAGTGTTCTCTTTAGGAATGTCTGAGTTTCCCCCTATATCTCTGATGGTTTGTCTCCCCAGGTGAACAGCGACAAGGTCTACTGGCAGCGCCAGTCCGATGGGAGTTTCAAGATCGTCTACGTGGAGGAGAAAGCCATCGGCCACTTGATCAGCACCAAATCGGTAGGCTCCAACCATCGTCAGGACATCACTGCCATCTACAAACATCCAGAAGGTACGTTGTCCTGAGTGGAGAAACAGAAAAGGATGTGCGTAGTTGCACACACCTTGCGCTCCCATCCCTCCCCCAAACCCAAGATTAATCCTATTCGTTCTATGTATTGTCGAAGGCTTTCATGGTCAGAATCACTAGGTTGTTGTGTGTTTTCCAGGCTGTATGGCCATGTTGCAGAAGCATTCTCTCCTGACCTTTTGCCCGCATCTATGGCAGGCATCCTCAGAGGTTATGAGGTCTGTTGGAAACTAGGAAAATGGTGTTTATATATCTGTGGAATGTCCAGGGTGGGAGAAAGAACTCTTGTCTGTTTGAGGTAGGTGTGAATGCTTCAATTAGCATTTAATGACCTTGCAGTTTTCAAGGTCTGGCTGCCTGGGGGAATCCTTTGTTGGGAGGCGATTAATTGGCCTGGACATTCCACAGAGCTCTAGTGCCTAGATCCAGAGAACTCACGTTCCCCCTCTATTCTGCCTTAGTCAGACCACAGCTGGAACCACACAGTGTCCAATTCCGAGCACTGCAGTTGAAGGGAGATGTTGACTCTAAGCTGGAACATGTCAAGAGGAGGGTGACTAAAATGATCAAGGAGCTGGAGAACAAGCCCTATGAGAGCAGCTTAAAGAGCTGGGCCTGTTTAGCCTGGAGAAGAGAAGACTGAGAGGAGACATGATGAGGGCCATATGTGAGGGGAAGTCATAAGGAGAAAGGAGCAAGCTTGTTTTCTTCTGCACTGGAGACTAGGATGACTGGAACAATGGCTTCAAACTACAGGAAAGGTGATTCCACCTGAACATGAGGAAGAACTTTCTGACTGTGAGAGCTGTTGTTCAGCAGTGGAACTCTCTGCCCCAGAGTGTGGTGGAGGCTCCTTCTTTGGAGGCCTTTAAACAGAGGCTGGATGGCCATCTGTTGGGGGTGCTTTGAATGCGATTTTCCTGCTTCTTGGCAGAATGGGGTTGGACTGGATTGCCCATGAGGTCTCTTCCAACTCCATGATTCTATGATCTCTTTTGAATTATGACTTTGGAAAGGATGGTTTGTGAAGTAACACAGAAGGGTGCAAACTGAGTTCAAATTGTAAAAGAAGAGAGAAGAGGGCAACATGTCACCCTTCCTACTAGACTTGGGCAAAAGCAAACTGCTGCAGCTTCTCCTAGCTTACATGTTCTTACCTTTGCCACTTTAGCCAGACTTTGATGTTGATTGGTATACCAGGTTTTGTCTCTGAAATGTGGGAGGGTATGCTCAACCAAAAGAAAAGATCTTTTCTTTTGGTTGAGCAGCCATGTCTCAAGCCTAAACTCCTTCAACCATTTCGTGTTGGTCTTGATTTCCATAACATTTACCATCTTGGTTCTCTTTCTTGGTCAAAATTCATATTGAATCTCTTTCACTCATGTCACTTTTGCGACCTTCCCTATGACTGCCAGCAAGATAGTCCTCTCTTTAACCTTCTGGTCCTCCCACCAGGATCCCCAGAAGAGCGCAAAGCAGTAGAAACCGCTGCCAAGCATGGCACCAAGGCCCACATCTACGCCGACAAAGAATTGGGAAAGGATATCTCGGTGAGCGTGCAAACTGATGAGGCCTACACTGGCCAGGACATCTCCTTGCGGGTCAACCTGAAGAACCGGAGCTCCATGCCTCGCAACGTCTCCCTCAACCTCTTCGTGGCCGTCATGTACTACACAGGCGTCACGGGCAAGCGCTTCAAGGAGGAACGTCGGCAAGTCCAGGTGCCGGCGGGTGGAGGTAAGGCTTTATGAATACCTCTAGGTGTGGTTGCCAGGTCAGGAGCATCCCAAGCTCTGAGATGCCACCTTAGAAACATGAGACTTGGAGATGGATCTACACCAGGCATGGGCCAACTTTGGCCCTCCAGGTGTTTTGGACTTCAACTTTGTTTTGTGTCTTCACCAATCATGCCAATGAAGGTTGTAGATGTCCTCTTGCAACAGGCCTTGTGTAGCTCATGAAGGAAGAAAGTGCCAGCTTAGAAACATGAGATTTAGGTTGGATCTACACCAGGCTTGGACAAGCTTTGGCCCTCCAGGTGTTTTGGACTTCAACTCTGTTTTGTATCTTCACCAACCATGCCAGTGAAGGTTGTAGATGTCCTCTTGCAACAGGCTTTGTGTAGCTCATAAAGGAAGAAAGTATTAATATTGTTGTTGCCCAGTCGTGGTGCATTTTGTACTCATCCCATCCTGCCTTTCCTCCTTCCAGACCAGGATGTCCCCATGGTGGTCTCTTACCCAGAGTACAAGAAACACCTGGTGGACCAAGGGGCCATGAAGCTGAGCATCTCGGGAAAAGTGGCCGAGACTGGACAGGTTATCGCCAAAGAGCATACCTTCCGCCTCCGCACACCGGACCTTACCCTCACGGTACGACGCAAATGTTGGGATTTGAGACCTGGTTGATGAGGTGGTGGCCTTTGGGGAGACATTGAGGCTGTAGAAATGGTGGACTAGATCCTATCAGTTCAATGTGGTAGCCCAGGCATGAGCAAGCTTGGGCCCTCCAGGTATTTTGGCCTTCAGCTCCCACCATTCCTAACAGCCTCAGACCCCTTCCTTTCCCCCCTCAGCTGCTTTCCCCCCTCAGCTGTCCTCTATATACCACATTTTCACCATTTAAACCCATATCCACAGGACAAATCACTGTGGATGTGTTGGAAGACATGTTTCTATGTGAGGGTCTCTCTCATGGTCTTGCTCATTCTTTTCTCTCCGGCTTCCTCCCTCTCCAGCTGCTGGGCCCGGCGATCGTTGGATGTGAAACCCAAGTCCAGATTGTCTTCAAGAACCCATTGGGCGTGACGCTCACCAACGCCGTCTTCCACATGGAGGGGTCGGGGCTTTCCACCCCCAACACAATGACCGTGGGGTGAGTGATCCTCTTCGAAATGCTGTCCATCACAAAGCACAGCTGTAGCCCTTAATTCCTTAAGTCTTCCTAATTCCTATCGTGACCACCAAAACTTGGGTAGAAACCCCCTCCGAATGGTTCATGCCAACCAATGACCCCATACCCAGGGCAGGTGGACAGACAGACAGATTTCTTGGATGGATGGATGGATGGATGGATGGATGGATGGATGGATGGATCGATGGATCGATGGATCGATGGATCAATGGATGGATTGATGGATCGATGGATAGATAGATTTATAACATACATAGATAGATAGATGGATGGATGGATGGATGGATGGATGGATGGATGGATGGATGGATGGATGGAAGATGGATGGATGGAAGATGGATAGTAGGGGGGATGGAAGGATGGATCAATGGATGGGTGGATCGATCGATGGATGGGTGGATGAATGGATAGATAGATTTATAACATGGATGGATGGATGGATGGATGGATAGATGGATAGATGGATAGATTGATGGAAGATGGATGGAAGATGGATGGATGGAAGATGGATAGTAGGGGGGATGGAAGGATGGATCAATGGATGGGTGGATCGATCGATGGGTGGGTGGATGAATGGATAGATAGATTTATAACATGGATGGATGGATGGATGGATGGATGGATGGATGGATGGATGGATGGTGGATGGATGGAAGATGGATGGTAGGAGGGATGGAAGGATGGATCAGTGGATGGATGGATCGATCGATGGGTGAGTGGATGGATAGATAGACTTATAACATGGATGGATGGATGGATGGATGGATGGATGGATGGATGGATGGAAGGAAGGAAGGAAGGAAGGAAGGAAGGAAGGAAGGAAGGAAGGAAGGAAGGAAGGAAGGAAGATAGGTGGTAGGAGGGATGGAAGGATGGATCAATGGATGGATCGATCGATCGATGGATGGGTGGATGGATGGATAGATTTATAACATAGATAGATAGATAGATAGATAGATAGATAGATAGATAGATAGATAGATAGATAGATAGCTCGATTGATCGATTGATCGATTGATCGATTGATCGATGGACGTACGGACGGAGAGACAGACAGACAGATTTATAGCATTGGAAATGTCCTGAAGGGCCATCTAGTGCAACTCCTGAAAGGAAGAAAGAAGGGAGGGAGGGAGAGAGGGAAGGCACGCAGGCAGGCAGAGCCAGAACCCCCCTTCCATAAAGGAACATGTAATCAAAGTCCTCCCTATAGACAACCATTCAGCCTCTTCTTTAAAACCTTCTCAAGAAGGAAACTTCACCAACTTTATCACACTAGAGAATGAATCCACTTTAAATCCGCTTGCTACATCCTGCAGAATTCTGGGGTTTGTAGTTTAGTGAGGCTATTAAAGGCTCCTCCCTAAACTACAAACCCCAGAATTCTGTAGGAGGCAGCAACCGGATTTAAAGTGGATTTATTCTCTAGTGTGATGAGGTCAAGTTTAGATTCTACCTGTGTCTTCATATTCTGCCCTCCTTCTTTCAGGAATATTGGACCTCACCAGACGGTGACGCTGCGACAGACCTTCACCCCGCTCCGCGCCGGCCAGCGCCAACTGGTTGCCAGCCTGGACAGCCCTCAGCTCTCCCAGGTCCACGGGGTGCTGACGGTCAATGTCACGCAGGGCCCTCCGCCCGGACCGTCGGCCTCCCCGGCATCCACCCGAGGTTCTCCCGCCCGACGCCGGGGTTCTCCTGCCGTGTCCAGAGGCTCTCCCGCTCCGGCTAGGGCTTCCCCTGCTCCGACCCGGGGCTCTCCTGCCAGGCAGCCTGCCAATAACCGCGGGTCACCGGCCACTCGGAGAACCGGACGGACAGCGCGACCGGTCTGAGCCCCATCTTAGAGATCATGTACTGTGTAATTTACATGATGCTGTCAATAAGGGAGGGTTAGGGGGAAAGGGGCAGTAAAAGAGGGCTGTGTGGGGAAGATACCAACTCAGCAGTAGAGACGAGGGTCCCGAAAATGCACTCCGTCCATTCATTCCACAGTCGTGGTCACTCCATCTGTTCTCTGCTGTCTTCCATGATCTTGGCTCTTCTCACCTATCCTTTTTCATATATTTTACCTACTATTTTACTCTGCATGATGCCAGAGACATCGACCCACAATGGCAGCAACGGGGGCAAGAAACTTCACAGTTATTATCTCAAATCTCTTAAGTGCCTGTCCATTCGTCACTATTCTCTGCCTTCTTCCATGATCTCACATCTTTACTATAGTTTCCCCTAGTAGATATTTTACTTACTATGGTCTATATTTTAGATACTATGACCTCCTGGCACCTTGTGTCCAACTCTTCCATCCATCCCTCTTTGGCCACCTTATCTGTCCGCACACGAATCACGCTACTTGTCACTCCTTCGTTCTCAATGCACCATTTCCACACATTGTCAGGATTTTGCATCTTCTGTATCATCACTGCCAGTAATTATACATATCCCTTTGGTTGCCAGTGACCGCACCTTCATGCCTCCATCGTCCGATGCTATTTGCTTCACTGAGATGTTTTGTTTTGGACTCTGAGCCTCATTTGAACATATGTTACCTTTCATTTTGAATGAAAACAGAAACCTCCACGGAAAGAGGTAGTCGTTTTGCTGTATTTCTTTACCTTTTAAAGTCTTTACAATTTTTTTCTCTAAGGGGCATCTACACGATAGGATTAAAACAGTTTGAAAGCACTTTTATTGCCATGCCATGACTCAATACTATGGGGTTCTGGGACTTGTAGCTTAATGAGCACTCTTTGGAAAAGAAGGTCAAAGACTTTGCAAAACTACAACTCCCATGATTCCACCGCTTTGAGCCATGGCAGTTAAAGTGGTGTCAAATTAATGTCGTATAAATGTCATTAATAAATAAATATAAATGTCGTAAATAAATAAATTGCATTGGGTTGTTGTAGGTTTTTTCGAGCTATATGGCCATGGTCTAGAGGCATTTTCTCCAGACGTTTCTCCTGCATCTATGGCAAGCATCCTCCGTCCAAGATACTTGCCATAGATGCAGGCGAAGCGTCAGGAGAAAATGCCTCTAGACCATGGCCATATAGCCCGAAAAAAACTACAACAACCCAGTGATTCTGGCCATGAAAGCCTTCGACAATACAATAAATTGCATTCATTCTCCAGAGTAGATGCACCCCTTCTTTCCAAGGGTTCTTTCACACTATCTAGTTATAGCACTATGAGTCCACTAATTACTGCAGCTTGCATCCTATAGAATTCTGGGAGGCATTAAGAGAAAACTACAAATCCCAGGAGTCCATCGCATGTCGTCATTGCAATTAAAGTAGAATCATAGTGCTTTAACTGGACAGTATGAACAAGACAAAAGGTTTGCGATTTTGCCACTTTGTTCACCAAGGATGCTGGACTTATTACTGTTATGATTCGTCACTTTCTTACCTCCTTCTCTGGCATGTAATTTGGTAAAGTTAATATTGTGTAAAGGTGTGCATTTCAGGAACTATCCTGAAACAAAAAAAAGTGGGAGAAGAAACTGCTAAAGGAAGACTAATACCACTGCAAAGACAAGGAAAAAAATATTTTTTACGTATTGTTTTGCAATGTTGAGAATGCACCGCACACTTCTTTGATGAGCACTGAAAAGGAATTAATTGATTATTATTTTTAAATGGACCAAATTGAGCCAAAAAGAGGTGCGGGAGGCGTCCTCGTCACCAGCCAAGAGGGAACAGCAAAAGGACAGGCTGCTTTTGAAACAAATGTGGAAACGAACAAAGCCAAATAACTTCTGTGATTTTGTTTTTCGCACTAATGAAAGTATTTATTTGAAAATAAAATTGTTTTTAACTCAGAAACACTTTCTCCAGGAGGTTTATTTTGCTCACAAAATGGAAACAGGATCACCTGTTCAAGTCAGAAAGGTTATTTATGATTAAAGTGGCAAAAGTGGTCAAATTTATCACCCTTTTGTTGGTAGACTCTATCCATTCTCCTTTACAAAACTTGGGCCCTCCGGGTATTTTGGACTCCAATTCCCACAATTCCTAACAGCCTACCAGCCGTTTGTGGGAGTTGGAGTCCAAAACACCTGGAGGGCCGAAGTTTGCCTATGCTTGCCATAGTTTGCCATAGAGGAAACTCCATAAGAAGTCTAGAGGAAAAATATCCAGACCTCATTTATACAGTAAAGATTATATGAAACTTTTTATATATTCTATGAAAGTCTTATTAGGTGATGGTTTAACTTCCGGTTTGCTAGTAAAACAGTGTTGTAAAAGGTTGCATGTCTGATAAGCATGTCACCAACATGAAAAGCTTTACATCATAAGCAGAAGCTGGTTCAAAATTTGGAAAGGAAAGAGCTTGGGGAAAGAGAAGCAACGAATTGTGAAAATATAATACTAAAAGAGCAAAGAAGGAAATGAATATGAAAAAGGGATAACAAGTATGATGTACAAAATATTAATAGAGATTGAAGGAGGGAGAAAAGGGATACAAACAAGGGAACTTATTGTTTGTACTATTATTTTTGTCTTATATGTTAATGTTTTTAATTATATTTTATGTTGTTGGGGGCATTGATTGCCAACTGTAAACCACCTTGAGTCGCCTCCGGGCTGAAAAGGGCGGTATATAAATATGGTAAATAAATAAACTTTGGGAAGAAGAATTGGGAATAAAAATAAGGGAAAGAAATTGGGAAAAATTATGGAGAGCAAGATACCTCAAGAATTTATCAACTGGGATAAAAGAAAACTGCTACAAGATGGTATGGAAATGGTACCTGATCCCGACAAAGTTACACCATATGGACAAGAGCTGTTCAAAAAATGTTGGAGGGGTTGCCAAGAAAGGGGAACATATGTTCACATGTGGTGGCAATGCAAATATGTACAGAGGTTTTTGGAGCCCCTGTTGGCACAGTGGGTTAACCTGCTGAGCTGCTAAACAAAGCACTCGTCCCCCCTGGTGGCGCAACAGGCTAAACCGCTGAGCTGCTGAACTTGCTGACCAAAAGGTTGCAGGTTCAAATCCGGGGAGCAGGGTGACCTCTCGCTGTTAGCCCCAGCTTCTGCTGACCTAGCAGTTCGTAAACATGCAAATGTGAGTAGATCAATAGGTACCGCTCTGGCGGAAAGGTAATGGTGCTCCATGCAGTCATGTCGGCCACATGACCTTGGAGGTGTCGAGCAATTTAGAGTGGCTGTGGATAGAGAGATCCAAGCCATTGTGGGTTACCTGGTGAGAAAAGAAGCCAGTATTCCAGAATAAATCTCCCCAAGTTGAAGAGAAAGCCACCAAGGTTTTATTTCATTCCAGCTGGAAAGGATGGCGATTGCAGCAGTGATGTCGAGACTGGATTTGGGAGAGTCTCCCCGGTAGAAGAGACTCCTAGGACTGCACCAAAGAGAGTCCCTTGTCCTTGGCAAGCCATCAGAAGAAGCCTGATTCCAGCAATGTTATTGATATTAATAATTGAAATGAGACTCTTGCCAAGGCGAAGAAGTGGCACCGAGGTTTAGTAGCGATTCAGCTGAAGCGGATGCAATTGCAGTGATCGTTCACATGCAAGCATACCAATACATTGATCAGAGGCATTTTTATAGGCAAAATACAGGTTTGAAAGTTTCAAAACTCCCTCCCTCTTCGGCTCCTTAGCAAATCAGGGAGAGGGAGGCAGGACGGAAGAGGGGCATTGTGTCCAGAGAGGATGAAACCAGTTTTTTTGTTCTTGTGATGGATCAGTGATTAGGGATAATCATTTGATTCAGGTTTTCCCCTTCCAGGATCAGATAAGGTGTGTTGGTTTTGATGGGTTTTTGGATGAAACAAACAGAGCCGGGCAAGAAGACCCCTGGGGCCAGTCTCGCCCCTTTGTGATTAAATTAAAATGTGACCAGAGAAATTCCCTGTTTACCAGGCCAACTCAGAAAAATAAACAAAGAATTTCCAGTTGCTATTGTCCATGCAAATGTCTGTGATAAGGTTGGTTTCGAGGGAACAACAGCCCCCTCGGGCACTGAGTGGTTTTTCCTGGTCGCCTTTTTTTGGGGCAAAGGGCAAGGGTAAAGGGGGCAAAAGATAGTTCATCGCAAGATAGATACATACATTCAAATCATAAGCATTTCATAGCAACAAAACCCCATCTTTGTCCCACATCCCAAGTATATTTAATAAGAGGATTAATTTTCATGAAGAAGCCTGAAGTCCAATGTTTTAAAAGGTCTTTGAGGAAAGTTCATGAGGGAGATAGTATGTACTGAAGTCCAAGACATGCAGGCAGAGAGTCCATGATCATTGGGAAGGCTGGCAGATGAAACCCCAGCTGTGCTGCAACTGATTCACACTTTGGTCCTTGGGAAACTACAACTCTCACAAAGGGCAGAAGTCCCAAGATCCAGCCGTTTCCCAAAAGCCTCGTGGGGTCCTTGTTGTTGTCAGTGCCTTGGCAATGTGACCAAGACTAAACCCCTATTGCACAGTCTGGTACCTTTGTCCTTTGCAGAACTATAAGTCACCATCCCTTGTTAGGGGGGGGGGGGCATGCTTGACGTCATTAGCCTGCCAACATACCCCCTGGGCAGAGAGATACAACATATATAGCCTTCAGATTCAAACGTTCCCATGCTGGCTTGTTATGATTGGCTGTGACATCGGCAAGCCAGGATGAGACCCAATGAGGGCTGTGGCCCTGCTTTTGGCCGCTCAGCCAATGAGGTGGAAGGGAGGCGGGAAACAGGGAAACAATGAAGAAATACCTAGTTGACTTGATTAAGGTGATTAAGGATGTTTGTCAAATGGCTGGGAGATAGATACCTTTTAGGCTCTCAAGCCTGGCCTAGATTATTGTTTGGTTCTTTGAATTAACATTCCTATCTAGCCCTGGGAGGGTAGGTCCTTTGTCACACTGTCCTGCAATATGGAGTTCATTGATGAAGTTGATGCTAGTTTCAGGAGAACAGGATGCGGCACAGCAGGGAGGTGGATGACAAATCCCTGGTTCCGAGCAGATGAAGAGATGGCCTTTGTATTGGGTGATCCAGTATGTCCATAGACTCCATTGTTCTGAATGACCTGGCTATCAGCCCTCCCAGGTACAGATGGATAGAGTCATTTACTTACTTTTCATGCAAATGGATCTGGTTGAGTCCTTTGTTAGGGGATTATCAGCCCAGGAAGTTTGGAAACTTCAAGAGCCATGAGTTACCTGTTCATGAAAAGGTTGCTTTCCTTTAACTGCAGAAACTGTTTATTGTGAGCCAAAGCAATAGGCAACAGCAGGGTGCTCACTGCATTCCCACTCTATGAATGTATAATTCAATTATCTTGTTGAACTATAACTCCCAAGATTCCTGACCAGTTTAGTTTATAATGAGGAATGGTGGAAACTACAATCCAGCATCTGTAAGTTGGCATGCCTTTGTCCATTGTATTCTGAAATTTGGTGGATCCACACGGTCAAATGAATGTTTATTAATGACTTAGATGAAGGGTTAGAAGGCAGGATCATCAAGTTTGCAGACGACACCAAATTGGGAGGGAGAGCCAATACTCCAGAGGACAGGTGCAGGATTCAAAACGATCTTGACAGATTAGAGAGATGATGGGCCAAAACTAACAAAATGAAGTTCAACAGGGACAAATGCAAGATACTCCACTTAGGCAGAAAAAAACCGAAATGCAAAGATACAGAATGGGGGACGATGCCTGGCTTGAAAGCAGTACGTGTGAAAAAGATCTTGGAGTCCTCGTGGTCAACAAGTTAAAATGAGCCAACAATGTGATGTGGCGGCAAAAAAGCCAATGGGATTTTGGCCTGCATCAATAGGAGCATAGTGTCTAGATCAGGGAAGTCATGCTACCCCTCTATTCTGCTTTGGTTAGACCACACCTGGAATATTGTGTCCAATTCTGGGCACCACAATTCAAGAGAGATATTGACAAGCTGGAATGTGTCCAGAGGAGGGCGACTAAAATGATAAAAGGTCTGGAGAACAAGCCCTATGAGGAGCAGCTTAAGGAGCTGGGCATGTTTAGCCTGAAGAAGAGAAGGCTGAGAGGAGATATGATAGCCATGTATAAATATGTGAGAGGAAGCCACAGGGAGGAGGGAGCAAGCTTGTTTTCTGCTTCCTTGGAGACTAGGACACGGAACAATGGCTTCAAACTACAAGAGAGGAGATTCCATCTGAACACGAGGAAGAACTTCCTGACTGTGAGACCCGTTCAGCAGTGGAACTCTCTGCCCCGGAGTGTGGTGGAGGCTCCTTCTTTGGAAGCTTTTAAACAGAGGCTGGATGGCCATCTGTCAGGGGTGATTTGAATGCAATATTCCTGCTTCTTGGCAGAATGGGGTTGGACTGGATGGCCCACGAGGTCTCTTCCAACTCTTTGATTCTATGATTCTATGATTTAATTAATTGATTAATAAATACATGAATAATTGAATAATAAATAAAATAAATACTTGTTATGATAAATATAATAAATATACATGTATGAATAATAAATACATAAAACGACTGTATTGCAGGGCAACTGTGACCCCTCCTTTTCCCAAAGCAACTTGTTAGATTAGCCCAGTACAATACTGCTACCGGAGAGGAAGGGGTTAAAACTGTTTTGGTGCTGCAGTTCCCATAATGGCCATGAGGGGCCGCTGTGGTTCTGCAGAAAGGAATCGGAGCGGGAAACAAGTGACCGCAAGTTTCGGGGCTTGTAGCGGCGGAAGTGACGTAATGTCGCCATAGAAACGCGCCGGAAGTACGCCTGCAAATGAAATAAATGCCCGGGCAGCGGATAGAAGCGCCGATTCGAAGGGAAGTGGCCGAATGGAGAGCTGTTTGGCGTTGCCTCTGCACCAGTGAGAGGTGAAAAGTAGGTAATCCGAAGGGAAGCTACAGAACTGAAAGGAGGTCGCCTTGGACTACATTTCCCAGCCTCTTTCACCATTGGCACTCCTGGCAGGGGCTGCTGGGAGTTGTAGTCCAACGGGTTGGAAAGTTTGCTGGTAGTTAATTGGGGGTTCTCTTAAGAGAAGAGAATAAGGACTAAATTAAGCATAATAATACAAATAATAATAAAGTATTAGTAGCTGGGAATGTAGCCAGGCCTAGGGAGTAATTACTATGCATTAATACTATGTATTAAAGGAAATTAAAGAAATTAAAGGAAATTGGAAAAAGAGATTAAATGGGGAGGGGCTTCAGGAAAGAAGGCGTGGCCTAAGGCAAGAGGGCGGGGCTACAAACTGGACAGTGCATTGTATTGTCTAAGGCTTTCATGGCCGGAATCACTGGGTTGTTGTGGGTTTTTCCGGGCTATATGGCCATGTTCTAGAAGCATTCTCTCCTGACGTTTCGCCTACATCTATGGCAAGCATCCTCAGAGGTAGTGAGGTCTGTTAGAACTAGGAAAATGGGTTTATATATCTGTGGAATGACCAGGGTGGGGCAAAGGACTCTTGTCTGCTGGAGCTAGGTGCGAATGTTTCAACTGACCACCTTGATTAGCATTTGATTGCCTAGCAGTGCCCGGAGCAGTCTTTTGTTGAGAGGTGATTAGATGTCCTTGTTTGTTTCCTCTCTGTTGTTGTGCTGTTCTAATTTTCTAATGGAAAAAGAAAATGAAGGAATACTGCCTTTTCTACATGTCCTAGTCATCCGCAAACCAGATCAACAATTGGGTCACACCGTTTACAGAAAACCCACACACACAGATAGATATCTACATCAAAATTCCAGCTGTCACCCAAGTAAAAAAGAAGCGCCATTAAAGCCTTGGCAGACCGTGCAAAAAGAATCTGCGAACCCCACCTCCTCCAAGATGAACTGAACCACCTCAACTGGGCTCTCCAGGCCAATGGAGACTCCACCTCAGACATCAGAAGAGCTGCAAGACCAAGAACAAGCCACGAGAGTAAAGATGAAGATCCACCCAGAGGAAAAGTGTTCTTGCCATACATCAAGGGAACTACTGACCGCAGAGGGAAGCTGATGAGGAAACACAACATACAAACAATCTACAGACCCACCAAGAAAATCCAACAAATGCTCCGTCCAGCAAAGAACAAGAGGGGCCCTCTCACCTCCGCAGGAGTCTACCGTGTATCATGCAGCTCTGGACAAGTCTACATAGGGACCACCAAACGCAGCAGCATTGCCCAGACACGAATAAAGGAACATGAAAGGCACTGCAGACTACTTCAGCCAGAGAAGTCAGCCATAGGAGAGCACCTGATGAACCAACCTGGACACAGCATATTATTGGAGAACACAGAAACGCTGGACCACACCAACAACCACCATGTCAGACAACACAGAGAAGCCATTGAAATCCACAAGCATGTGGACAATTTCAACAGAAAGGAGGAAACCATGAAAATGAACAAAATCTGGCTACCAGTATTGGAAAAAACCCTCTAAAATTAGAACAGCACAACAACAGAAAGGAAACAAACAAGGACATCTAATCACCTCTCAACAAAAGATTGCTCCAGGCACTGCCAGGCAATAAAATGCTAATCAAGGTGGTCAGTTGAAACATTCCCACCTAGCTCCAGCAGACAAGAGTCCTTTGTCCCACCCTGCTCATTCCACAGATATATAAACCCTTTTTTCCTAGTTCCGACAGACCTCACTACCTCTGAGGATGCTTGCCATAGATGCACGTGAAACGTCAGGAGAAAATACCTCTAGAATATGGCCATATAGCCCAAAAAAACCTACAACAACCTGGAGAGTGCATCTTGAAGGGGCGTGGTGTAACAGGAGTGGGCGGGGTCTAGAGCAAGAGGGCGGGGCTATATCCTTCAGCAAGGACATTGTGGGGGGAAATGGGCGTGGCCTTTCATGAGTGGGCAGGGTCCTGAGCAAGAAGGCGGAACTACATTTGGTGAAGTTAGAAAGTTAGGTCAAAGTTTGGAGGTACAGCTAATTAAATGCAAATTAAAACCAACAAGGAAAAGCTTTCCTTCTTGTAGCACAACTATGTTGTTGTGCTACAGGAAGTAAAACACAACTATATGGGAAATCAATGTTTCCATTTGATGTTGGATGTTTTGTTTTAGGTCTGTTATAACAGGCTGTGCTTTTTATTTAATTTTAGTTTGTTAAGTTATAATTCGTATCTATATGTTGGGTTGTATAAATTTTGTTAGCATGAATGTATTGTTGTTGTATTCGGACATTGAATGTTTGCCTTTAATGTTTGGAATCCGCCCTGAGTTCCTTTGGGGAGATAGAGCGGAATATAAATAAAGTTTGTTATTGGGTTGTTGTAGGTTTTTTCGGGCTATATTTTATTTATTTACAGCTTTTATATTTCGCCCTTCTCACCCCGCAGGGGACTCAGGGCGGATTACAGTGTACACATATATGGCAAACATTCAATGCCAATTTTGACATACAACGTATGAAGACATACACAGAGGCTATTTAACTTTTTCTGGCCGCCAGGGGAGCTGTCGCTTTCATTGTCCATCTGCGACACTGATGAAGTACTTCCGCATACCCCGCATGCTTTTGCTGGAGTGCTTTGCTGAAGTCTTTTTTATGGCCTTATAAATTAGTTAATTTAGCCTCCCCACACAAAGTGGTACCTAATTTTCCTACTTGACAGATGCAACTGTCTTTCGGATTGCAAAGGTCGACAACAGGCTTCCCTCAGAGGATGCTTGCCATAGATGCAGGCGAAACGTCAGGAGAGAATGCCTCTAGATCATGGCCATATAGCCCAAAAAAACCTACAACAACACAGTGATTCCAGCCATGAAAACCTTCGACAATACAAAGTTTGTTATTGTTATTATTTATTTATTTTTTTGTTTACACTATTTCTATCCCGCCCCATATCAGCAGCATACAAAAACAGCACATTTCGATGCCATATATAAAATACATACATTGATAAAAAGCAAATATATATATATTTATTAATTATTATTATTATATAAAAACAGCTTTCTGAATGCAATATGGAAGTAAGTGGAGGGTTTTGCCATTTGCTTGAGAGTTCCAGTTAACCGAGAGTCTATTTTCGGTCAGTTCTGTATCTGTCTTTGGCACAAGATTTTTATATTTTTGTGTTTCTATGTGATTTTTTGCATATATAGCCCTAACTGTCTGAATGTATCTCCCTTTATTGAACCATCACAGAGCTGCAGTTGCTCCTTCTTCTCTTCAGGTGATGGGGAGTGTGTCGGTGCAGGAGGAGGAGGAGGAAGAAGAAGAGCCTGAGGGCCACGATCCCTTTGTGGCCCTGCGGCTGGTAGCGGCTGCTTCCTGGCACGTGGTCGAGGAGCGCCAGGTCTGTGACTTTCCCCGAGTGCTGGCCATGTTGGAGGCCGTCGGGGAAGCCGCCCCGGATTTGGTGCACTTCCGGCACCTGGCTAAAGTGCAGCTGGGCCTGCAAGCAAAGGTCAGCTGGGGGTATTCTGTGTCCGCATGTCATTTAAACAATTGAGAAGGGCAATCAAAGCGATCAATCATTTGGAAACTATGAGTCCCTCTGAACAGCTTCAGGAGCTCAGGATGTTTAACTTAGAGAAGAGAAGGCTGAGAAAAGCGGACATGAGAGTCATGTTAAAATATTTGAAATTATGTGCCATTGGCTAGAATAGAGTAGAATAACTTTATTGTCATTACATACCAAAATTAAATGCTTTCCTCAGCACATACCACTAAACAACACACCTCAACCACTGCCGCACAGTCCCCAATGCCACATCAATGCAAAACCATTTTCAACATAGCCACAGCTCTAGGATAAAAGCTGTTTCTCAGTCTGTTTGTCCTTGCCTTTGTCACCCTATACCATCTCCCAGATGGTAATAATTCAAATGCTGTCCCCTGCCACGCATTGCTGTGGCCCAGTCTGGTGATCTGGTTTCTATATAAATGTTATTCCTTCATGCTTGTAAGTAAACAGTATTCCTTGTTGTTTCTATGTCAGTGTTGATGTGGAGAGTGTCTGGTTTACCTACTCTAGAACATGTGACATATAATTGTCCTTCTTTAGGGGTCCCTTTCAAATCGATGATACTATATCTGTGTGTATGTGTGAATCATATATATCTATCTATATTTATGACTGGATGGCTCTTTGTCTGGAGGGATTTGGTTACATTTTCTTGCCCTGGTGAAGGGAGTTGGACTGGATGGCCTTAAGTATGATGGTTCTGGTTGGGAAGTTTGCCCCAATTCTATCGTTGGTGGGGTTCAGCATGCTCTTTGATTGTAGGTGAACTATAAATCCCAGTAACTACAACTCCCAAATGTCAAGGTCTATAGTCATCACTATGCTGGGTGTGACCAAGTGTTAGATTTCTGGTCTGTTCTTTCTGTAGTCCACTGTAAGAAGGGAGTAAGTTTGCTTTCTGCTGCTCTGGAGACTAGGACACAACGGAGAAATAGATTAAAATTGCAAGGGGGGGGGGTGTTCCACGTAAACATTAGGAAGACTTCCTGATGATAAGAGTTGTACAGCACTAGAATAGGTTGCCTTTGAGTCTGGTGGAGTTTCCTTCTCTGGAGGTTTTTAAGCAGAAGCTGGATGTCCATCTGTTGGGAGGGCTTTGATTGTGTGTTCCTGCATGGCAGGCTGGGGTTGGACTGGATAGCCCATGTAGTTCTTTCCAGTTCTATGAATTGAAACGCTGGCCCTGTTTGTCTTTCAGCTGGGTTGGGTTGCTAAATCTCTACTTCACATGCATTATCTCCAGGAAGGAAATGAGTATGTAAATTCTTTCGTTCTGTGCAAATTTCCAGCTCATCTAAGAATGAAGAAACTTGTTACAGTTTGTAACACTTAATTCAGGGGTCCTCAAACTTTTTAAACAGGAGGCCAGGTCACAGTCCCTCAAACTGTTGGAGGGCTGGATTATAATTTGAAAAAACAAAACATGAATGAATGAATTCCTATGCACACTGCACATATCTTATTTGTAGTGCAAAAACACTTAAAAACACTACAATAATTAAAATGAAGAACAATTTTAAACATATAAATGTATTAGTATTTCAATGTGAAGTGTGGGCCTGCTTTTGGCTTTTTTTCCCTTTTTTTTTTTTGGTCGTGTCAGGAGCGACTTGACAAACTGCAAGTTGCTTCTGGTGTGAGAGAATTGGCCGTCTGCAAGGATGTTGCCCAGGGGACGCCCAGATGATTTGATGTTTATATCATCCTTCTGGGAGGCTTCTCTCATGTCCCCGCATGAGGAGCTGGCGCTGATAAGAGGGAGCTCATCTGCCTCTCCCTGGATTTGAACCTGCGACCTGTCCGTCTTCAGTCCTGCCGGCACAGGGGTTTAACCCACTGCGCCACCACTGCTGATGAGATAGGATTGTTGTTGTTGTTATGTGCTTTCAAGTCATTACAGACTTAGGTTGACCCTAAGCGAGGGCCAGGTAAATGACCTTGGAGGGCTGTATCTGGCCCTTCAGTCTTAGTTTGAGAACCCCTGGCTTAATTAGTTAATTGCTGCAGCTTTCAAAGAGTCTCCCAGGAGTCTGTGGAATCTTGTATTTACCTTCTTTATTTTTGCAATACCTTTCCTGTAGGATTATTTGTATTTATAGTAGAGTAGAATGCATCATGTCAGTGAGATACACACACACACACACTCCTGTTTCTTAACATAAGCCTCTGTGTATGTGTGTGTGTGTGTATGTGTGTAGGCAGGCAGGCTTATGGTAAGAAACAGGAGAGAATGTGCAGGATGCTCTGGCAAGATTTCTAAAAAGGTTAAAATGTACTTTTATTGTTGCAGGTAATACATGTCATATAAAAGATTAGACAAAAAAGGTACCTTTGATAAAAGAGTCCCTGATGCTGATGAATGTAAGAGAGAAGCCTCAAAGAAATGTGTAAAGGGCACACTAAAGATTTCTGGGAAGATGGGGGAAGTGATCTTTACATGCAGGGAGGAAGCCAATATACCTTGAGTTGCATAAATCTAGGAAACAGAAAAGAAAACCGGATAGCAGGTCTGCTCCACAGGCTTCCTTCTGTCCTTAATTGCTCTATGCAAATACCCAATTTTGGTGAGCAATAGCTCTGGGCAACTGGCTCAAAGCATGTAAGTGACATTAAATGGAGACGTCACCAGAATCCCAGGCAGAAGCATATTCTGCTGTCAGACAGTTCTTATTGTCGGGAAGTTCTTCCAAAGATTTAGGTGGAGTCTCTTTTTCCTGCCATTTGAATCTATGGTCCCATTGTGTCCCAGTCTCCAGAGCAACAGGAAACAAGCTTCTCCTGTCCTCCAAGTAACATCCTTGATTGACGTATTTAAACATGGCTCTCTGTAAGCAAGCAAGAAGGCATAATCCCTTCATTTCACAATCTTAGTTAAGTAGCAGCACTTTCAGCTAACATTTTTCTCCATACAAAGATAGGTTTTGTGTGAGCACACATATTGAATAACAAGCTGTGAGCAATCACTTAACCCTTAATGCCGTCTCCAGGAGTTGTCCCTAGGTCTTATGTTTTGCCTAAAACCTTGGAGCAAAACAAGGAATTGTGTTGTTGTTCAGCTGTTAGGAATTGTGGGAAATGGAGTCCAAAACACCTGGAGGGCCCAAGTTTGCCCATGCCTGCCTTAAGAGTCTTGTGCAGCCCTGAATGGCATCCGTAATCCCAATGATCTACTGCTGTTATTACTGTACTCTATCGTTTCCCATCCCTAGCTTTTTCCTGGCTGATAAAGCCGCTGTGCTTTTCTTTCTCTTCTCCCCAACCTTTTGGTCATCTCTCAATTTCTCTTCCCTCAGGTAATCATGACAATGCTGCAGAATGAGGAATCCTATGGGCAAATCTACGAAGCTGTCGATGCTTTTTTTCCGGAGCACAACCCTACAATGGCTCACCCCAAAGCTGTGAGTGCCCCTTGGGGAACATAGCCACTTGATGATGAGTAGTAGTAGTAGTAGTAGTAGTAGTTATTGTTGTTGTTATTGTTGTCCTTCTGGGAAATTGATGCTACTGTTTGGTGTTTTATTTCATGTCTGATATAACAAGTTGTGTTTTTCATTTATTTTTAGTTGTTAAGTCATAGTTTGTTTTTGATATATTGGGTTGTCAATTTTCATTATTATGGGTATATTATTATTATGTTCAGGCATTGAATGTCTGTCTTTTATGTTTGGAGTCCCTCCGGGGAGATAAGGTGGAATATAAATAAAGTTATTATTATTATTATTATTATTATTATTATTATTATTATTATTATTATTATCCTCACCGGGAAGTAGCAGCCAATAGTGAAAGGACCAAGGCAGAGACATCTCCAGCTCATCCCCTGTTTGGGTATCAGCCAGCACGTCAACAACTTAAATCTAGAAATAGTTTTCTAAGATCTACAGAGATACTCGCTGGAGCACCCCAGCAAGTGAGAGTCCAAAAGTGGCAGGCTCAAACCCAGAACCTCAACCAATGGCTGATACCAAATGAGAAACTCCCCCCTGGGCACACAGAAGACTGGGCGACTTGGAAGGCGCTGAACAGACTGTGCTGTGGCACCACGAGATGCAGAGCCAACCTCAAGAAATGGAGCCACAAAGTGGAATCCACGACATGCGAGTGCGGAGAAGAGCAAACCACTGACCACCTGCTGCAATGCACCCTGAGCCCTGCCACATGCACAATGGAGGATCTCCTTGCGGCAACACCAGAAGCACTCCAAGTGGCCAGATACTGGTCAAAGGACATCTAATCAACTACCAAAGTTGCAAATTTTGTATTTTGTCTGTTTGTTTGTTTGTTTAGTTCTGTTAGAAATGTAATACAATTGACTGGTTGCCCTGACACGACAAATAAATAAATTATTATCCTGCCCCATTGCTTCATTGAAAAGTTGCCTTGCTCACAAACCTTGTCATTTTTTTTGCCACAGACTGCTGAAGACTTGGAGCTGGTGCAAGCAGCTCAAGATAATTTCCGGGATCTGGTGCTGAACTTGCTAAGCGACCGAGGGGAGCGAGACAAGTACGTGCAGGTGAGGAAGGGAAGAAAGAAGAAGTTGGTTGCTATCGTGTTGGTGAAATAAGAAGATGATATATTATTTGTATTGATTTATTACCTTTTTGTTGTGTGCCTTCCAAGCCATTCCTGACTTATTGCAAGTCTAAAGTGAACCTATTACGGAGTTCAGAAGGGGTTGGCCATTGTCGTCCTCTGAGGAATGAGAAAATGTGAGCTGCCCAAGGTCACTTAGTAAATTTCCATGACCACGTGATTTTCCAAAATAACCTCCCAACAAGGTAAAGGTAAAGGTTTCCCATGACATTAAGTCTAGTCGTGTTTGACTCTAGGAGGTGGTGCTCATCTCCATTTCTAAGCCAAAGAGCTGGTGTTGTCCATAGACACATCCAAGGTCATGTGGTCAGCATGATTGCATGGAGATCCGTTACCCTCCCATCAAGTCGATACCTATTGATCTACTGACATTTGCATGTTTTTGAACTGCTAGGTTGGCAGAAGCTGTGGCTAACAGCGGGAGCTCACCCCTCTCCTTGGATTAGAACCGCCAATCTTTCAGTCATCAAGTTCAGCAGCTCAGTGATTTAATCCACTGCGCCACCACAGGGCCCCTTTCAATATCCTAGTCCAATTCTCAAACCACCACACCAGTGTTGGCTCTCATTTACCACCTACCTCTTAGTTAAAATCAAGATCCAATCTCGTCATCCAGTCGTTTCATGTTCCAATATTTGTTACACTGTCTTTTCGAATGCCTGCTCGAATAACCAGGTCTTAACTTTCCTACGAAATGCTAACAGAGTAGGGGCCGATCTAATATCTCTGGGAAGGGGTCCATAGCCAAGGGGCCACCACTGAGAAGGCCCTGTCTCTCGTCCCCGCCAAACGTATTTGTGACACAGGCGGGATCGAGAGCAGGGCCTCCCCAGACGATCTTAACATCATGATCTTGAAGTAATAAAGCACAGTTCTTATTTTCTTCCACCTCTCAGGAGCACTTGGAAAACGATTACGGAGAAGCCTTTTCAAATGTGGTGGAAGAGCTCTTTTGCGATTATCTGTGGCAGCTGGAAAGCACCCTTCCCAAGCCTGACCTTGAGAAGGTACCGTGTGGGAGGAGGAAAGGGGTTTGCAAGTCCGGAGCTTAATTATGGGGCAGCCCCACATCTTAATGGTGGCACATGTGGTTTGCACTGGCCTGCCTCTACCAGCCCAAACTGTTCGAAAGGTAGGCAGAGTTGGGTTGGATGAACCAAGAGGTGATGAGAGAGATCTGTAAATGCTAAGAAATGTATCCGAAAGTAGTTCAGTGTTCTGCAAGTGGCATTCATTGGGCCAGGTGGGCATGCCCCAAAGGAATGCCCATCTTATATTTCTTGCTGAGGATTAATGAGTGTCCTCATATGTATTGTTGAAGGCTTTCATGGCTGGAATCACTGGGTTGCTGTGAGTTCCGGGCTGTATGGCCATGTTCCAGAAGCATTCTCTCCTGACGTTTTGTCCACATCTGTGGCAGGCATCCTCAGAGGTTGAGGGTTCTGTTGGAAACTAAGTAAGTGAGGTTATTTGCGGAATGTCCAGAGTGGGAAAAAGAACTCTTGTCTGCTTCAGACACATGTGAATGTTGCAATTTGCCACCTTGATTAGCCGTTCAGCAGTGGAACTCTCTGCCCCGGAGTGTGGTGGAAACTCCTTCTTTGGAAGCTTTTAAACAGAGACTGGATGGCCATCTGTCAGGGGTGCTTTGAATGCAATATTCCTGCTTCTTGGCAGAATGGGGTTGGACTGGATGGCCCATGAGGTCTCTTCCAACTCTATGATTCTTTGATGCTATGATTTAATGGCCTTGCAGTTTCAAGGCCTGGCTGGTTGCTGCCTGTGGGAATCCTTTGTTATGAGGTGTTAGCTGGCTACCAATATTTTTAAAAAACCTCTAAAATCAGGACCTCTAAAATATCTAAAAAAAACCATGTGAAAATAGGAACACTAAAAAAGCAGGGGAATTCCAGACAATAATCAGTCAGGGCCAACCAACACCTCCCAGCAAAGGATTCCTCCGGGCAGGAAGCAGCCAGGCTCCCGACAGATGGCCATCCAGCCTCTGTTTAAAAGCCTCCAAAGAAGGTACCTCCACACTCCCAAGGCAGAGAGTTCCACTGTTGAATAGTTCTAATGGTCAGGAAGTTCATAGAATCATAGAGTTGGAAGAGACCTCATGGGCCATCCAGTCCAACCCCCTGCCAAGAAGCAGGAATATTGCATTCAAATCACCCCTGACAGATAGCCATCCAGCCTCTGTTTAAAAGCTTCCAAAGAAGGAGCCTCCACCACACTCCGGGCAGAGAGTTCCACTGCTGAACGGCTCTCACACTCAGGAAGTTCTTTCTCATGTTATTCAGGTGGAATCTCCTCTTCTATAATTTGAACCCATTGCTGTGAGTCCTAGAAAACAAGCCTGCTCCCCCTTTGTTATGACATCCTTTCAAATATTTAAACATGGCTATTCTCTGAATCCGCTTTTAGCTCCTCTATAGCCATCAATTGGAAAGCTGGGGCTTGTGGGTTCGGAAGGAGCTTTGGGAGTTCTCAGTGAGGGAGATCGAAGTCTCAGCCAAACTACAAATCCCAGCATTCTGTAAGATTCAGCCATGGCACAAAAACTATGTGATTGAAAAGGGCCTGTAGTCCATCAAATGTCCAGGCTCTGGCCTTGCAGTCTCAAGAGTCGCTGAAATCTCCAGTTATCCTTCTTTCTTATTTTCTCTTCCTCAGTTGTTGGAGGCGGTGTGTTTCCGGGGCCCCAGGAATAACCCCCAGGCGGATTTGGCAATCCTCTCCCGCTACTTCACCGTCATGGGATACCAGCTCGTAGGTAGGCAAAAAGGGACCACAGATTCTGTCTCTTGAGCTGCTCTATTTCCCTACAAGTAAGACTGGGGTTTTCGTTAATTTTTGCTCTAAGAGACACATTAGGGCTTATTTTCAGAGCATGTCTTATTTTTTTCATGTACAATAATCTACATTTATTCTAATACAGTCATGCTATCAGGGAGATAGGGCAGCCTGGAAATAAATATTGTGATAATTTTCCAAACTCCAAATTTCTTGTGACTCCAATAATAATAATAATAATAATAATAATAATAATAATAATCCAATACAACAGCCAGCAGAGTGATCTTGTCTGCTGTGGACTCATCTTGTTGTCTTTCAAATAATAATAATAATAATAATAATAACAACAACAATAACAACAACAACAACAACAGGAAAAGCTGACATGATATGAAGATTTAAAGAGCGAACTGCAAAAACCAGTCAAGATTAGAAGGACTAAAGCAGGTATGGCCAAACTTGGGCCCTCCAGTTGTTTTGTCATTTGGGAGTTGTAGTTGCTGGGATTTATAGCTCACCTACAATCAAAAAGCATTCTGAACCCCACCAATGATGGAATTGAACCAAACTTGGCACACAGTTCTCCCATGACCAACAGAAAATACTGGAAGGGTTTGGTGGACAGTGTCCTTTGGCTTTGGAGTTGTAGTTCACCTACCTCCAGAGGTCACTGTGGACTCAAACGATGATGGATCTGGACGAAACTCTACACGAATAGTATGCCCAAACGTGAACACTGGTGGAGTTTGGCGGAAATAGAATCTTGAAGTTTGGGAGTTGTAATTGCTGGGATTTATAGTTCACCTATAACCACAGAGCATTCTGAACCTCACCAATGACAGAATTGGGCCAAACCTCCCACACAGAACCCCCATGTGGGCCACAGCAACGCGTGGCAGGGGACGGCTAGTACACACACACACACACATGCAAGCTTTGAATCACTTAGGGAAGGATTAACAGCCCTATAGTGTTTGTTTTGCTGTCTGTGCCCCTGTTTAGATTTCCCCTCACTTTCTGTCCCTGTGAGTATTGGATGTTGGCTCTTCGTGGAGACAAGGATTGGCAAGAAAGCTTCATTGGAGACCCCTTTTCCCCATGATAAGAACTCTTCCAGGAGTGAATTCCTTCCAAGAGGAGGATTTCTCTCACTTCCTATTGTCTCACCCCCCATTCTTAACTATTCATAGAATCAAAGAGTTGGAAGAGACCTCATGGGCCATCCAGTCCAACCCCCTGCCAAGAAGCAGGAATATTGCATTCAAATCACCCCTGACAAATGGCCATCCAGCCTCTGCTTAAAAGCTTCCAAAGAAGGAGCCTCCACCACACTCCAGGGCAGAGAGTTCCACTGCTGAACGGCTCTCACAGTCAGGAAGTTCTTCCTAATGTTCAGATAGAATCTCCTCTCTTGTAGTTTGAAGCCATTGTTCCGTGTCCTAGTCTCCAGGGAAGCAGAAAACAAGCTTGCTCCCTCCTCCCTGTGACATCCTCTCACATATTTATACATGGCTATCATATCTCCTCTCAGCCTTCTCTTCTTCAGGCTAAACATGCCCAGTTCCCTAAGCTGCTCCTCATAGGGCTTGTTCTCCAGACCCTTGATCATTCTTTACTCTGAAACTGCCTGTATGTCCATTGTTTGTTCTAACAAATATACTACTTGTAAATGTGTAAATGGGGCTTATTTTGGGAATTAGGGCTTATATTATGAGCATCCTGGAGAAAAATCATGCTAGTGCTTGTTTTCCAGTTCTATTTTCAGGGAAACAGGGTATTTTCCTGATTTCCAGTTTATACTTCGTTTGTTTGTTTGTTTGAGGGATCACTGCACGCCTCTGCACGTCCAACCCGCCAAACCCTCCACGCCACAGCGAAGGGGAGGACGAGGTGGAAGAGCCCTCAACCCCTCCTGAACTTTGTAAGCCCCCCTCAAGCCTGGGCAGGTCCATAGTAGAGCAGAGATGCTTCCCGTGTCCGCAGGAAGGGTAAGTGCCTGCTTGTGCCCATCTCTTTTTCCACCCTGTTGATCCAAAATGACTAATGGCACCTTCTTTTCTCATGTCCAGGGATTTCCAGGAGCACCACTCAGGCAGCCAAGAAACAGGTACTTCCTGTTCTTCTCTCTGAATCTTTTTCCAACCGCAACCCGTTGACGTATGAATTTCCAGAAGCAAATACGAGATGCAAATCAGTCACACAATTCCCCTCTTTGTGTCACTGATCACATTCACATTTGCAAAGAATTATTATTATTATTATTATTATTATTATTATTATTATTATTATTATTATTCATCGTGTCAGGAGCAGACCAAACAGTTGCATTGCATTTTTTAACAAACAAACAGAACACAAAGTTTGCAAGCTTGATAGTTGATTAAATGTCCTTTGACCAGTAGCTGGTCACTTGGAGTGCCTCTGGTGTTGCTGCAAGAAGGTCCTCCCTTGTGCATGTGGCAGGGCTCAGGTTGCATCGCAGCAGGTGGTCAGTGGTTTGCTCTTCTTCACACTCGCATGTCGTGGATTCCACTTTGTAGCCCCATTTCTCAAGGTTGGCTCTGCATCTCGTGCTGCCAGAGCGCAGTCTGTTCAGCGCCTTCCAAGTCGCCCAGTTTTCTGTGTGCCCAGGAGGGAGTCTCATTTGGTATCAGCCATTGATTGAGGTTTTGTGTTTGAGCCTGCCACTTTTGGACTCTCGCTTGCTGGGGTGTTGTAGCGAGTGTCTCTGTAGATCTTAGAAAACTATTTCTTGATTTAAGTCATTGACGTGCTGTCTGATATCCAAACAGGGGGTGGGCTGGAGATGTCACTGCCTTGGTCCTTTCACTATTGATTGCTACTTCCCGGCCACCATCTCCCCCAATGGGGACTCGGGGCGTCTCACATGAGGCCAAGCCCAAACAACAAATTACAATAAAATAAAATAAACAACATTGCAATAAAGTACAAAGCATATAAATACAATAAGCAATATACACAAAGCATAAGAAAGCAATAAACAACATAATGACAGTGAGTGAGCCGGCTGGGGCTCTGCATCAGAATGGCAAAGAAAGCTAGACTGGGAACTAGACTTTTGGTATGTGGCAGTTTTGAGTGGACTCTGTGCCATTCCGTTCCTGGCACTTGCTTCTCCCTATCCCTTCTTCTAGTTGTGTCTCTGCCCTTATATTCCTCCATGTCCCAATTTCCTGAAATGTCTGCCTCTACTAAATGGGTAATGGGCTAGAAAGTGCGAGATCATCACAAGGAAGATGTGACTCCTTCACTTTATTTACAGTAGGAGTTCTTGACTTTTCTTGCCAGCCCTCCATATTTGAGGATTTGATTAAAATGTTCTGTATAGGAGATTCTAGATCACAGCTTTCCAAACTTTTCATGTGGGTGACAGGCTTTGTAGACATGCATCTTTCGCAACATGGTCATTCAATTTTACTGACGTTTCGCCTGTATCTAGGGCAAGCATCCTCTGAGGCGAAACGTCAGGAGGGAATGACTCTAGAACATGGCCGTATAGCCCGAAAAAACCTACAACAACTTAGTTAATGTTCTTCCCCATCCAAGTTAATAGACTCCCTGAAATATATTCACAGATGGTTGGTGGAGGGTTCTGTTGACCTCAGATTACGAATCCCTGGTTTTGAGAGAATACCATCTTGCATTCATTAGGCAGATCATTGAACCCTCAGCCCTCCTGTGTTTCTCTCAGTTCAAAGAGAGAGAATGCAAAAAAATTCCTAGTCCAAAAAAAAAAAACCTCTCTTTGCTATCCAGGGTAAAGGGGGGGGGGGAATTGAGGCGCAAGTGTCCTGACCTTTCTATCTTCTCTGCAGATGACAGCATGGACATGGTGCTGGATTCGAGCAGTGAGCAAGAGAGCTCTCCTTTCAGGAAGGTGAGGAAAGGGCCAAGGAGGAGAGGGGTGCAAGCCTTGACATGGTTGTTGGGAGCAAATGGCTACGGGACTTCTGCAAAGACTGCAGTTTGGCTCCATCCCTGCTTCAACAAGCCTGTGCAAGGGGAGGAAATCTTAAACTGCTCCCCTTTGGGTCTGGCCCTGTTTGGCGCTGCAGTGGCCCTGACCGCCCTCCCTTTCCCCCCACAGGGTGAATACCAGTGCACCCGGCACAACACCCTCATCCCCACCTTCCAGGAGCACCTCTGGGGCCCTGGGAGTCGGTGAGTGACCGCTTGACCACTCCCCTCCCCGGAAGTGTGGGCAGGCCTCTCCGGCCCAAGGGCCATTTCCTCACAGCTGTTCCCCACCTGCATGTGCACTCTCACTGTCATATCTGTACACACCACTGAGTCACAGCATGCACCATTTGGACAGCTTGTGTACCCCTTGGCTTTTGGGGCTGTGGTCCAACTCCATCTCTAGGAATGGTTTGAGGATGTTGAAGTGCTCCTAAATGAGGGAGGGGAGATCCCAATGCATGCCATCTTGAACAGGGAATGGTGACTTTGTGGTCCTCTTGAGTGTATCGGACTGCAAGCCGAGGTTTAATTTAAAGCAGACTGAAAATTCGTGGTGCTACTATTCCATTGAGCCCCCAGAAGCACAGCGGTAGTCCACGCTCTGGTTACATCCCGTTTAGACTACTGCAACGCTCTCTACGTGGGGTTGCCTTTGAAGACAGCTCGGAAGCTTTAATTGGTCCAACGCTCGGCAGCCATGATACTAACAGGAGCGACGCACAGGGAGCATACAACCCCTCTGTTGCGCCAGCTCCACTGGCTACCAATTTGCTACCGGGCACAATTCAAAGTGCTGGCGTTGGCCTATAAAGCCCTAAACGGTTCCGGCCCAAGTTACCTATCCGATCGCATCTCTGCCTACAAACCCACTAGGACTTTGAGATCTTCCGGGGAGGCCCTGCTCTCGATCCCGCCTGCAACACAGGCACGATTGGCAGGGACGAGAGACAGGGCCTTCTCGGTGGTGGCCCTTCGGCTGTGGAACACCCTTCCCACGGACATTAGATCGGCTCCATCTCTAATGGTATTTCAGAGAAAAGTGAAAACCTGGTTATTTGAACAGGCGTTTGAATAGGCAGTGAAATGAATATAGGAACGGAACAACGGAAGAGAGTTTTGGATCATGTTTTCAGTTATGAGACGCCAATGAGTGGTTATTGATGTTAACTGTCTCGTCTGTTATTGTGTTGTTTTTAAATATCTTGCTGATGTTAGCATTGAATTTTTGCTGCCACTGTGTTAACCACTGTGAGTCGCCAAAGGGCTGAGAACAGCGGTATACAAATAAAGTAAATAAATAAATAAATAACCATTGAGAAGCTGAGCTTGCTCAGAGAGCTGGAAGAGACCCCCAAGGGTCATCCGCCAACCTGCGTGACCGCATTTCTGTGTACGAACCCACGCGATCTCTTCGATCATCTGGAGAGGCCCTGCTCACGCTCCCACCTTCTTTGCAGGCGCGATTGATGGGGACGAGGAAGAGGGCCTTCTCTATGGTGGCCCCCCGACTCTGGAACTCACTCCCCAAGGATATCAGACATTGGCAGTCTTTAGGAGGAGCCTGAAAACGTGGCTGTTCCGGTGTGCCTTCCCTAAATAAAGGAAACAATCCCCTGCAAAATATCCTGAGAAGCACTTTAATTACCCGTTGGGTTGCTCTCTACTTTTGGTTTTAAACCCTCCTACTAGATACATCCTCTGTTCATGTCCAGCATTTATTTTTTTAAAGTTTTAACTATTACATCTGGCCCAGCCATAGGTTTTTTAAGTCATTGTGTGTTCTGTTTATATGTGAGTTATATTAATGGTATTGTTTATTTTGCTTATTGCTTGTTTTTATTGATGTGTTGTTGGGCTTGGCCTCATGTAAGCCGCTCCAAGTCCTCTTGGGGGGGATGGTGGCGGGGTATAAATAAAGTATTATTATTATTATTGGGTTGTTGTAGGTTTTTCTGAGCTATATGGCCATGTTCTAGAGGCATTTTCTCCTGACGTTTCTCCTGCATCTATGGCAAGCATCCTCAGAGGTAGTGAGATGCTTGCCATAGATGCAGGCGAAACGTCAGGAGAAAATGCCTCTAGAACATGGCCATATAGCCCGGAGAAACCTACAACAACCCAGTGATTCCGGCCATGAAAGCCTTCGACAATACATTATTATTATTATCCAGTCCAACCCCTACTACACAGAAATTCACAATTGGAACACGCCTTACAGATGGCCATTGGGCCACAGTGGTGCAACGGGTCAAACCGTTGAGCCGCTGATCTTGCTGACCGGAATGGCAGCTCAAATTCATGGGACAGGGTGAGCTGCTGCTATTAGTCCTAGCTCCTGCCAACCTAGTAGTTTGAAAACATGCAAATGTGAGTAGATCAATAGGTACTGGACACGAAACAATGACTTCAAGCTACAAGAGAGAAGATTCCATCTGAACATGAGGAAGAACTTCCTGACTGTGAGAGCCGTTCAGCAGTGGAACTCTCTGCCCTGGAGTGTGGTGGAGGCTCCTTCTTTGGAAGCTTTTAAACAGAGGCTGGATGGCCATCTGTCAGGGGTGATTTGAATGCAATATTCCTGCTTCTTGGCAGGGGGTTGGACTGGATGGCCCATGAGGTCTCTTCCAACTCTTTGATTCTATGATTCTATGGTTCTACTGCTCCGATGGGAAGATAATGACGCTCCATGCAGTCATGCCCACCATGTGACCTTGGAGGTGTCTATGGACAATGCTGGCTCTTCACCTTGGAAATGGAGATGAGCACCACCCCCCAGAGTAGGACACAACTAGACTTAATATCAAGGGGAAACCTTTACCTTTTACTCTTCCATTTCCTTCAAAAGGCCATCCATAGATGCCCCATTGAGGTGCCTTACCAATTGGAAGTTCCCTGTCCCAACCTTAACCTGTTTCTCCTTTTCTCCCTTCTCTATAGGTGTGTTAGGTGCTTGGACTCGCTCACCTGTCCCGAAACCTGACCCACCTTCTCTTCTTTTTCTTCCTGAAATGCACAGATCCTCCCGGTTCCTTCGAGTTTGTTTAAAGCTTTATTCAATAAACATGGTTAAACCTTCTACTCAATATCTCTGATTGTCTTTTCCAATTTGTCAAGTGAATACAAAACTCATTCCCTCCTCACTAGCGGAGGAGAGCGAACCCTGCTCTCTTTTGGTCTTTGGAAACAAAAGATGGAATGCTGTAAGGCAACAACTATCCTACAACATGGAAAACTACATTTCTCCCCATTGATCAAGGAGTGGGGAAGAAATGAGCGTTCGTTGGAATCATAAATACGATGGAGTGAAATGGTTTTGAAAAATACTTCTCAAGAATTTGACTGCCTAGATCAGGCATGGGCCAACTTGGTCCCTCCAGGTGTTTTGGACTCCAACTCCCACCATTCCTAACAGCCTCAGGCCACTTCCTTTTCCCCCTCAGCCGCTTAAGCGGCTGAGGGGGAAAAGGAAGGGGCCTGAGGCTGTTAGGAATGGTGGGAGTTGGAGTCCAAAACACCTGGAGGGACCAAGTTGGCCCATGCCTAGCCTAGATGCTTTGGGAATTGATATTCCAAAACATCGGCATGGTCAATTGTAGAGAACTACTGATTTGGAGAGACCAAAAAACATTTGCTGTAAAGGGTTGGAAATGACAGCTCCCAGAATTCTTGGGAATCTGCATCCTAAAGAATTAACTGCAGAGGAATAGTTTTGGCCATGTATGGTCTGGACAAACAGGTCAATCTTATATTGTACTCTCCACTACTACAAGTCCAATCTTTTCACCGGGAGGAAAGGAGAGGGAGGCTCAGGGCTGGTCCGAATCCCTGAAGATGGGGTTGGCTTGCTGGGTGACCCGGATGAAGGTGGTCCTGCGGCTGAGCTCCTTCAGCTTGGCGGCCCCCACGTAGGTGCAGGTGGAGCGGATGCCCCCCAGGACGTCCCTCAAGGTGTGCTCCACGTCGCCCTTGAAGGGCACCTCCACCACCTTCCCTTCCGAGGCCCTGCGGGTCAGAGAAAGAAGGCTGAAAAGGCCCATAGCAGTGGTTCTCAACCTTTCCAATCCCGCGACCCCTTAATACAGTTTCTCAGGTTGTGGTGACCCCCAACCATAAAATTATTTTCATTGCTGAAATGCAGGATGTATTTTCATTCACTGGACCAAATTTGGCACAAATACCCAATACGCCCACATTTGAATATTGGTGGGCTTGGAAGGGGACTGATTTTGTAATTTGAGACTTGTAGTTTCTAGGATTTATAGTTCACCTACAATCAAAGAGCATTCTGAACTCCACCGACAATGGAATTGAACCAAACTTGGCACGCAGAACTCCCATGGCCAACAGAAAATACTGGAAGGGTTTGGTAGCCATTGACCTTAAGTTTGGGAGTTGTAGTTCACCTATATCCAGGGAGCAATGAGGACTCAAACAATGTTGGATCTGGACCAAACTTGGCACAAATACTCAACATGTCCAAATGTGAACACTGGTGGAGTTTGGGGGAAATAGACCTTGACATTTGGGAGTTGTAGTTGCTGTGTTTTCTGATGGTCTTCAGTGACCCCTCTGACACCCCCTTGCGACCCCCTCAGGGGTCCCGACCCCCAGGTTGAGAAACACTGGCCTATAGGCTTTAGATTCACATTCAAGAACCCAGCAATCCCTTGGCCATCTCATTTTTGCTATATTTTTGGTTATGGAGACAGGCATTTGACGAGTGAGCCAGATATGGATGGAGGATGATGAACAACAAGTTAGTGTGACGACTGACCATTGTAGTTATTGAATGTAATTGCTGTTTTAATGTTTTAGTGTAAAATGAATGATTATGTTTTTATTAACTGTATGTGATATTATGGTTGGAAACCGGTCTGAGTCCCTCAAGAGAGGTGAAACTTTTAAATAAATAATAAATAAAATAAATAAAATTTTGGGTAGTTTTTCCCTAACACCCCTTCTATTTACATGGGGGGGGGGGAGTATTTAGTCAGATACCAAATCTACAAATTCTCCCACTTTAAAAGATGAGAGAGGCCTGTGATTGACATCATAGGTAGACCTCAACTATGAGAGACAACATGAGAAAACGCATCCAGAAAATGACATTTCCCCCACAACATTCCTGCCAACAGTCCCTAGAAGAGAAGATAAAGTCACTATTTATTTGCCATCTTCATACTCTGCCTTTCCCTGAGCTCTGTTTCAAGGACAACAGCTTTTCCCATCAGGCCACCGTACCGATATTCGGCAACACCTCCGGCGTACTTCTTCATGGAGACTTCCGAGCTCATGCCGTAGAACAGCTTGTATTGCTTGCCTCCTTTCTCGATGAGGTCTCCACCAGACTCCGTGTGCCCGGCCAGCATCCCGCCCAGCATGACAAAGTCTGCACCGGCACCTGAACCAGAACAAAATCAGGAATGGCATGGACAGAGCTATCAGGAAACTGAGGAACCACAGAGAGTTCTGCTTTCAAACTTGCAAGACATTTTAATAGAGAGCAATAAGGAAGATGAGGTTTTACCAAACGCCTTTGCCACGTCCCCTGGGCAGCTGCAGCCTCCGTCCTGCAGGAAAGAGGATGGAAAGATCCAAATGGAAATGCATTATTTTATCTAGCAAGTGACATGTATATCCCTTAGCTCAGACATGGGCAAACCTTGGCCCTCCAGGTGTTTTGGACTTCAACTCCCAAAAATTCCAGCCAGTTTACCAGCTGTTAGGAGTTGTGAGAGTTGAAGTCCAAAACACCTGGAGGGAAAGTTGAAATTGGACCATGCCTGCAATATAAGCAGTGCTAAGTGTCAACAACTGGGGTGACTTACCGAGATGATGTGCCCATTGAGGCCGTGCGCAGCATCAGCACACTCCATGACCGCACTCAGCTGCGGGTAGCCCACTCCGGTCTTCTTCCGCGTGGTACAAACCGAGCCTGAAACGAGCCAAGATGGGATCAGTTTCAAATGATTGGGAAGGATGTGAGCTGTAAAGGTCCCAAAACATTATCTGAAAACATTATATCAAATCTTGACACGTCCCATTTCACAGAAAAAGCACTGTCTTCAGGCTTACTTGAGGCACAAGTGTCTTCTGTCAGATATATTAAAATTAACTAGGTATTTTAAATTACACAAATGTGAGTCAAGCATTGAAAGTGTTAAATAGATAAATGTCTCAGCAAAAGCTGCAGTTCAATATTAGCAGGTGTGCCTGTAGCTTAGTTCGCCTCAGTGTGAGAGAGCCCTCAGTGTGAGATAAGGCTTCAGTGTGAGAGAGACCTGGGTGGGAGAAAGGCCTCAGTGAGAGGAAGGACTCGGTGTGAGGTAGGTCTCAGTGTTAGTAGGCCTCAGTATGAAAAGGCCTTGTGTGTGAAGCTCCAGTGTGAAGGTTGAACTTTATTTGTGTTATGGAAACCTTGTTCGCCCCAGTCTGAGAGAGCCCTCAGTGTGAGAGAAGGCCTCAGTGTTAGTAGGCCTCAGTATGAAAAGGCATTGTGTGTGAAGCTCCAGTGTAAGGTTGAACTTTATTTGTGTTATGGAAACCTTGTTCGCCCCAGTCTGAGAGAGCCCTCAGTGTGAGAGAAGGCCTCAGTGAAAGAAGGCCTCAGGGTTCATTCGCCTCAGTGTGACAGAGGCCTCAGTGGGAGAAAGACCTCAGTGTGAGGTAGGCCTCAGTATGAAAATCATAGAATCAAAGAGTTGGAAGAGACCTCATGGGCCATCCAGTCCAACCCCCTGCCAAGAAGCAGGAATATTGCATTCAAAGCACCCCTGACAGATGGCCACCCAGCCTCTATTTAAAAGCTTCCAAAGAAAGAGCCTCCACCACACTCCGGGGCAGAGAGTTCCACTGCTGAACGGCTCTCATAGTCAGGAAGTTCTTCCTCGTGTTCAGATGGAATCTCCTTTCTTGTAGTTTGAAGCCATTGTTCCGCGTCCTAGTCTCTAGGGAAGCAGAAAACAAGCTTGCTCCCTCCTCCCTGTGGCTTCCTTTCACATATTTACACATGGCTATCATATCTCCTCTCAGCCTTCTCTTCTTCAGGCTAAACATGCCCAGCTCCTTAAGCCGCTCCTCATAGGTCTTGTTCTCCAGACCCTTGATCTGGAGAAGCTGCAGTTCAATATTAGCAGGTGTGCTTAGTTTACTTCAGTGTGAGAGGGGAATCAGTCTGAGAGAACCCTCAGTGTAAGAGAAGGCCTCAGTGAGAGAAGGCCTTAGTGTTAGTTCGCCTCAGTGAGACAGAGGCCTCAGTGGGAGAAAGGCCTCAGTGTGAGGTAGGCTTTAGTATGAGAAGGCCTCAGTGTGGAGGCTGAACTTTATTTGTGTTACGGAAACCTTGCAACCAAATTATTTTGCTATAAAGAAAAGCTTTCTATTGAAGAAATAACATTGGTCTGTATGTTTTTGTTCTTTTTATCCTTTTTTGGCTACTAACGCCGGGTCATCCTGCTGCTAAATTACTCTGCTGTGCATTTATGAGAGTCTTTTGTTAATAAGCCCACTCGCCCAACATCTTCCACTTGTCCTAGTACTGTATACCTTTTCCTAATACTTTAAAAAGCAGGAAAAGAGATTCCACCTAAACATTAGCAAGAGCTTTCTGAAGGCAAGGTGGAAGCTCCTTCTTTGGAGGCTTTTAAACAGAGGCATGGCAGAAGGGGGCTGTACTGGATGGACCCTGGAGTTCTCTTCCAACTCTATTACAATGTAGGACAATATTAAGACTTACTGGGGCTGAAAGTGTGTGACTAACCCAGAGTCACCTTATGGGTTTCTATGGCCAAGCAGAGATTCAACCCTTGGCTTCCAGAAACATAATCCAACACTCAGACCATTTCACAGGTTCTTTTTATCATTACCTGGTCCAATCCCCACTTTGATGATGTCGGCTCCTGACAAGACAAGCTCCTCCACCATCTCCCCAGTCACCACATTCCCAGCCTGAGGACAGCAAAAAGAAACAGGAGAAGTAGAATTGTGGGAGTTGGAAGTCCAAAACACCTGGAGGGCCTAAAGGTTGCCCATGCCTGTGTTGTATGTCAGCCTGTGATTGTGTCTGATGTTCATGATGGGAATGGGGATAATGTTCTTGATGGTGAGCCTGGATCTGTTGGCAGTTAGATGAGGATTTGCCAGAGCCTGAGTTAAGCTCAGACGAGAGGCCTGAGCTGTCTCAGGAAGATTCACAAGGTCACATTCCTGGGAGAGGCCCTTCACAGTCTTTCTCTGAGCAACTGTCTGAAGATGATTAGTCAGGTGCAGAAGTTAATGAGAGTGTAGATAGAAAGCAAGGTTTTTGTAAACAGAGATAGAGTGCTCAGGCCCAAAGAAGATCAGTTCGTTTACAAGAAAAGAGAATACTTAAAAGCAAAACTGTCATGAAATTCCAGCGTTGACCCAACTGAGGCAACTCCTTCCCATGAATCAATGTAAGGCTTTTCCAGATTCCAAAACCGAAAGTAATGCATTTCTCTTGACCTTACTACCAGATAAAGGTTTCTTTTGAGGTCAAGAGAAATGCATTCCTTTTGGTTTTGGGATCTGGAAAAGCTTTACATTGATTCATGGGAAAGAGTTGCCTCAGTTGGGTCAACGCTGGAATTTCATGACAGTTTTGCTTTTAAGTGTTCTTAGTTTCATGTACCAAGTTTTTACCAAGCTCCTGATTTGTGTATTGGGTTTTTCATGCTGCCTTCTTTCATGGATTGTTGTTCCAATGGATCTAATTTTGCCTTGAGGCTCATGGACTATCCCTTGTTTTTGGGAACTTTACTGTTTTGTTTATTTTACTGCTTTGCCTACAGATATTCTTCAGTAAACTACTTGCTGATGTTACCAAGCTGGTGTGCTGTTTAAGGTCAGCCTGTTGTATAACAGCCTGCTTTAAGGAAACTGGAAATACTGGAAAGGCATGAGAGAGTGGGATGCAGTCAAGGAAGGTGGGCTTACCATGATGGTGTGATCCGGAAACCGCCTGCGCACATCCCTCAAGAACTGGACGAAGTGTTCTGAGTAGCCGTTGGCCACATCCAGGCAGATGTAGCGCACCTGAGGCACGCTCTCCAGGATCTGCTCCAGCAGCTCAAAGTCCATGGAGCCGGTGCCCGAACTGGCCGCCACGTTCTTAGGACAGACATCAGAAGGAGACAGGGAAACAACAGAGCAATGGCCTGCAGCACTAAGTGATCGCCATCCCCCCAAAAACCCAATGAAAGACTCAGAATTTCCTGTCTTGTGCCACGGAAGCAAAGGGGAGGGAGACAAAGCCACTCACCTGCAGGCAATCTGGGTTCTCAGCTGCAAACTCCTTCCACTCATCCAGACTATAGTGTTTGTGGATGGCGGTGAAGAGAGAGAACTGGAGAACAAGGAGCGGAGGAAAGAACAAATGATGAGACACAGAATTATCAAGGAATATTGCAGGTTGTTTGTCAGTGGAATATGCAGCAGAGTCTCCCTCTCTGGAGGTTTGTAAACAAAAGCTAGATGACCATCTCTTGGGAAGGATTCAATTATGATTGGGCAAGATGACCCATGGGGTCCATTCCAACTCTATGACTCTACATTAACAGGCAGAACATCTGTCCAGAAGAGAGAAGGAAATTCTAGTGAGAGCCATACCTTGCACAGAACTTTGGCCATCTCAAAAGTGCCCACGGTGTCCATGTTGGCGGCGATGATGGGGATCCCTGTGTACGTCTGCTTGGAGTTGCGGAACGTGAAGGACCTCATGAGATCCACCTGGAGGAAGGCACAAGATCAAGACAGGCCCAAGGATGACGTGGTTCCCCAGCCATCATGTACCATATAAGCTGGGGAACCATGTCGAGATCACACTCTGGTATGAAAAGTGCCCTACATCCAGAATTGCTTAAACCAGGTGTGGGCAAATGTTGGCCCTCCAGGTGTTTTGGACTTCAACTCTCACACCGGTAGGCTGTTAGGAACTGTGGGAGTTGACGCCCAAAACACCTGGAGGGCCAAAGTTTGCCCACGCCTCCACTAACGTGTTGTGACACACAGTGTGGAAAGCTCTGCCCCATATATACCAACTGGGTCATCATCTTGATCAATTCCACCCCAGAGTGGAGGACATGCAGGTCAACTCCTCCATCCTGTTCTCTATCTTCAGCCTCCAAGTCCAGCAACACCATCTTCTCCAAGTTTATCCTATGAAACTAGGGCTTCAAGGACCACCTGGAAACCTACATCTTCCAAGGAGAAATCCCAATCTACATCCTTTCTTAAATGAGACCTTCCATCCCACATGAAGAACCAAGGAGGCTTTCTCCAAAGCTCACCTCGCTGCGGGATTTGAGGGTGCTCCGTTTGGGCCGGAGGAGGACATCCTTGAAGTCTAACTTAATGTCGTTATCAATGTGCGGCATCTTGGAGCCCTGGAAGACAAAAGGATCAAGTGGAATAACTCTAGAGATAATGGAGAGAAAATAAAAGGTTTTGTTTTGTGTTTTTTCCCCAGGGATGAAAGTATTTATGAGCCAGCAAAGGAATTAGGAAAAGAATCAGAGAGGATTTAGGGAAAGAGTCAGACCTACCTCTTCTGGCAGGAATACCCAGTCAATTTTACCTGTATTTTATTGGTGTGGTCTTGTGTGTATTTTGTTATATGTATTTTAATAGTGTTGTTTTCTATTGCTTTGTTTTAACCCTGTTGTATAGTTATTATTATTATTAATTATATTAATTATTAATAATACAATAATAATTATAATATAATAATAATATAATAATAATTATAGTATAATAATATAATTGTTGTTGTTATTGCTTGTATTGTTGTATTTTGGGCTCAGCCTCATGTAAGCCGCACCGAGTCCCTTGGGGAGATGGTAGCGTGGTATAAATAAAGAGTTATATTATTATTATTATTATTATTATTATTATTATTACTCTTTATTTATACCCCGCTACCATCTCCCCAAGGGACTCGGTGCGGCTTACATGAGGTGGCGCAGTGGGTTAAACCCTTGTGCTGGCAGGACTGAAGACCGACAGGTCGCAGGTTCAAATCTGGGGAGAAGCGAATGAGCTCCCTCTATCAGCTCCAGCTCCTCATGCGGGGACATGAGAGAAGCCTCCCAGAAGGATGATAAAAACATCAAATCATCCAGGCGTCCCCTGGGCAACGTCCTTGCAGACGGTCAATTCTCTCACACCAGGAGTCACTCCTGACACGACAAAAAAATATCATTATTATCATTATTATTATTATTATTATTATTATTATTATTATTATTATTATTTTATTACTAGCCATCCCCTCCCACGGGCTGCTGTGGCCCAGTCTGTGTATATGTGTTTTGTGTGTGTGTGTATGTTTGTGTATATATGTGTGTTTGTGTATATATGTGGTTTTGTGCATGTGCTGTAATGGATTTTTTGTTTGTTGGCTTTTAAAGTCCCTTCTGCTGTGTTTTTCAGTGTTTTTATGAGTGATGGTCACTTGTTGGCCTGAGAGGTGTCTTGTATCCAAATTTGGTGACAATTCGTCCAGTGGATTTTGAGATATGTTAATCCCACAAACAAACATTACATTTTTATTTATATAGATACTAGCTGTCCCCTGCCATGCGTTGCAGTAGCCAACCTCCCCTCCCTGTTTCTTATCCTTTCTTTCTTTCCTTCGCTCCTTCTCCCCTTTTCTTTCCTTTGCCCTTTCTCCTCGTTCTTCCTTCTCTACCTATTCTTGGACTGCAACTCCCAGCAGTTCTCCTGATTAATCTATCTATCCATCTATCTCTATCTAATCTATCTATCTGTGTATCTATCTGTGTATATGTGGTTTGTGTCTGTATATATTTGTGTATATATATGTGGTTTTGTGCATGTGTAGTAATATTTATTTTTAAATTTTTGGCTTTTTAAGTTCCTTCCACTGTGTTTTCCAGTGTTTTGATGAGTGATGGTCACTCATTGGCCCGAGAGGTGTCTTGTGTCCAAATTTGGTGTCAATTCGTCCAGTGGTTTTTGAGTTATGTTAATCCCACAAACGAACATTACATTTTTATTTATATAGATATTATAATACTGTGTATATTTTGTTATATGTATTTTAATATTGTGTTTATTGCTTTGTTTTAACCCTGTTGTATAGTATTATTGTTGTTGCATTATTCTAATTTTATAATATTGTTATACAATAATAATATTGTTATTGTTATTGTTATTATTATTATTATTATTATATGGGTTTATAATAGAACCAATTAGGAAATGACATTTGGAACCCGAAGTATGCAAAGAATGAGGAAGCGACAGCTTCCCTGGTGGCCAGAAGCTGGAATGTTAAATAGCCTCTGTGTGTCTGTCTATATATGTTGTGTGTCTATGGCATTGGATGTTTGCCATGTATACGTACATTGTAATCCACTCTGAGTCACCTGAGGGCTGAGAAGGGCAGTATACAAATACAGGGTGTATATATATGTCTGTGTTGTGTGTGTCACATGGAAAGACAGCCAAGTGGAAGAATGGAAGTGGGTGGAGAGAGACATGAATTGTCGAAGGGATAAACGTTATTGAACTTTATTGGTTAGGAATGTGATCCTGCAAAGCTCGCTTTCATCTAGATCATAGGGGGCCTTGCAAGTCAATATTTCTAAGGGCGTGGTGCGGGGGCGGGAACAGCACTTAATCTAGATGCAAAATCAATAGCTGTGCCCCGCGCAAGAGTGATCTAAGTAATCTTCAAATCCATGTCTTAAGATGAAATGCTTCAGGACTAGACCTCACAGCCTCTGAGGATGCCTGTCATAGATGCGGGGGAAATGTCAGGAGAGAATGCTTCTGGAATATGGCCTTCTTTACTATTGCCTTCTTCTGTGCAGGCCCCTTCTAAACGGCCCTATATCACAGAATCTGATCCCAGGTAATCTTCTTATCCCAGATTATACGGCAATGTAGACTCCTATAATCCAGTTCAAAACAGATCATCTGGGATCAGATCCTGAGATATAAGGCAGTGTAGATCCAGTCTTAGAGTCAAATATAATGTCACTCTACCCCATAAATGGACTAAGGGTACATCTACACTGTAGAATTAAGGCAGTTTGATACCACTTGAACTGCTATGGCTCTCAATGCTATGGAATCCTGGGAGGTCTACTTTCTACCTGATCTTTAGTCTTCTCTGCAGAAAAGTCACTAAACTACAAATCCCAAGATCCCATTGCACTGTCTTTGGCAATTAAAGTGGTTTTAAATTGCATTAATTCTACAGTGTAGGTGCAGCCTAAAATAGAAAAAGAGTGTTAACCTTATTAAAGTGTTCTCAATTTTCTTACCGTTTGCGGAGTGTGCTAATCCGAAGAACTGAACTACTAAATCTCCACCACGGCCTCTATTTTGGCCTCAGCCTCTCTTGCAGTGCAGGGTTCAGATCATACCATTCTGGGGAGAAAATATGATGCACATTGTTATTCTCACAGTCGCACAAGGTGAAGAATCCTCCACCTTGTGCAACTCTGAAGCAAAACACCTGTATGCTCGCCCACAATGCCCTGCCTCATGCAATGCTTAATAATAATGCAATAATAAATAAATTCTTACACCCAATTTGACATCCAAAGCTGTTAAAAAGAAACATCTTGCTTGTCCGAAATGGGGCTCTATTATTATTATTATTATTATTATTATTATTATTATTATTATTATTATTATCATTACTATTATCATTATTCTTATGGTATAAAACCAGGAATAATATTTGTCCTTAATACACAATACTGAATACTTTAGCCCTATAATGATGATGATGATGATGATGATGATGATGATGATACAAGAAGTAATATTTTCCTTAAGACACAATACGGAATACTTTAGCCCTACAATAGTAATAATAATAATAATAATAATAATAATAATAATAATAATAACAATACAAGAAAGAATGTTTTTCCTTAAGATGGAATACTGAATAATTTAGCCCAATAATAATAATAATAATAATAATAATAATAATACCAGGAATAATATTTTTTCCTTAAGACACAATACTGAATCCTTTAACCATACAATAATAATAATAATAATAATACCAGGAATAATATTTTTTCCTTAAGAGACAATACTGAATCCTTTAGCCCTACAATAATAATAATAATAATAATAATAATAATAATACCAGGAATAATATTTTTTCCTGAAGACACAATACTGAATACTTTAGCCCTACAATAACAATAATAATAATAATAATAATACCAGGAATAATATTTTTTCCTTAAGACACAATACTGAATCCTTTAGCCCTACAATAATAATAATAATAATAATAATAATAATAATAACACCAGGAATATTTTTTTCTTAAGACACAATACTGAATCCTTTAGCCCTACAATAATAATAATAATAATAATAATAATAATAATAATAATAATATAAGAAATAATATTTTTCTTAAAACACAATACTGAATACTTTAGCCCAATGATAATGATAATAATAACACCAGGAATAATATTTTTTCCTGAAGACACAATACTGAATACTTTAGCCCTACAATAATAATAATAATAATAATAATAATAATAATACCAGGAATAATATTTTTTCCTTAAGACACAATACTGAATCCTTTAGCCCTACAATAATAATAATAATAATAATACCAGGAATAATATTTTTTCCTTAAGACACAATACTGAATCCTTTAACCATACAATAATAATAATAATAATACCAGGAATAATATTTTTTCTTAAGATACAATACTTAATCCTTTAGCCCTACAATAATAATAATAATAATAATAATAATACCAGGAATAATATTTTTTCCTTAAGACACAATACTGAATACTTTAGCCCTACAATAATAATAATAATAATACCAGGAATAATATTTTTTTCCTGAAGACACAATACTGAATCCTTTAGCCCAATAATAATAATAATAATAATAATAATACCAGGAATAATATTTTTTCTTAAGACAATACTGAATCCTTTAGCCCTACAATAATAATAATATAAGAAATAATATTTTTCCTGAAGACACAATACTGAATCCTTTAACCATACAATAATAATAATAATAATAATAATACCAGGAATAATATTTTTCCTTAAGATACAATACTTAATCCTTTAGCCCTACAATAATAATAATAATAATAATAATAATACCAGGAATAATATTTTTTCCTTAAGACACAATACTGAATCCTTTAACCATACAATAATAATAATAATAATACCAGGAATAATATTTTTTCCTTAAGAGACAATACTGAATCCTTTAGCCCTACAATAATAATAATAATAATAATAATAATAATAATACCAGGAATAATATTTTTTCCTGAAGACACAATACTGAATACTTTAGCCCTACAATAATAATAATAATAATAATAATACCAGGAATAATATTTTTTTCCTGAAGACACAATACTGAATCCTTTAGCCCAATAATAATAATAATAATAATACCAGGAATAATATTTTTTCTTAAGACAATACTGAATCCTTTAGCCCTACAATAATAATAATATAAGAAATAATATTTTTCCTGAAGACACAATACTGAATCCTTTAACCATACAATAATAATAATAATAATAATAATACCAGGAATAATATTTTTCCTTAAGATACAATACTTAATCCTTTAGCCCTACAATAATAATAATAATAATAATAATAATAATACCAGGAATAATATTTTTTCCTTAAGACACAATACTGAATACTTTACCCCAATAATAATAATAATAATAATAATAATAATAATAACACCAGGAATATTTTTTTCTTAAGACACAATACTGAATCCTTTAGCCCTACAATAATAATAATAATAATAATAATAATAATAATAATAATAATATAAGAAATAATATTTTTCTTAAAACACAATACTGAATACTTTAGCCCAATGATAATGATAATAATAACACCAGGAATAATATATTTTTCTTAAGACACAATACTGAATCCTTTAGCCCTACAATAATAATAATAATACCAGGAATAATATTTTTCCCCGAAGACACAATACTGAATACTTTCTCCCTATCAATTCCTCTGAGCATGTTAAAAGTTCTATTCCAGCCTATCTTGGTTTATTTATCCCAAATCTATCTGACATCCTTGGGCGACCTCTAGAGGAGATGACGTGTTACTACAAATTCCCATATTATGGAAGTGATGCTAATTAAAGCCCTGACTTTGCTCTGAATTTCAATTGCTATCTTCTAGCTGCAAAACCACTAATTAATTCGAGTTTGAGTCTATTTCTAAAACTTATATATCCAAATATTTTTCCAAATCACTCCAAATAAATTGGGATTATGACATTGCATATCATTGGGAAATTATAGTTGGAAAACTGCATTTTTTGGACTATAAACTCCTAGAATCTGGAGATTAAAAATCCCAGAATTCCCCAAATAATAATAACAGAAATAGTAACAGCTTTTCCAAGCATTGTCATTAGCAATTTCATAGATTCATTTAATTTACAGCATTAAAAAACATATTTTTTCCTATTATTCTGGGATTTATTGCTCTAAGGCCCCCAAATGAACCCCATTTCCAGTTCACCCCAATAAACACGCCTACCTCCAATAAATCTTCTGGGGAAAAGAAAGTGAAAGTCAACAAGCGCCTCCTTCCTGGAGCAAATAATTCCAGTATGCTTTTCTGCTATTCTGGACCCTTTTTCTTAGCCAGCGCACTGACTTGTGGGAGATGTAGTCTTGGTCTTGGCTCACTATAATGGTAAAGGAGGGTTCCATGGACTACAGGTAGTAATGACGTACTGCGCATGCGCCTTAAGTCGCACGTGAAACCGGCGAAATGACTAACCAATGGAATCAGGAGACTCAAGCACGAAAGAGACTACGCTTCCCAGTGTGCAGCGCGCGAACCTATTCAAGTCGGCCGCTTTGGTTTTTTTCGCAATGCGTCATGGGGAATGTAGTCCGATTAACTCAAGATAGTTCCACAAGATTAGAAGCGGGTTAAACAGCGAAATTTTAAGAATTTTAGGTGAAGTGGGACAAACACACGCCTTTTCTCACCGAGTGTTATTTTAATAGTTTGAAACAATAAGCGAAGGAAGGTATCATGGGAATTGTAGTTTTAAGGCCCTCAGGAGAACAGTGTTTCTATGGAGAAAGGACTACATCTCCCATGGTGCATTGCGCTGGGCAGTTTTGGCTTGGTTATAGGCAAGACCAAATATATATATATGCCTGCGTGTATATATGTATCTATGTGTGTAAGTAAATTATTATTTATATATATAATATAACATATATAGCTATTATGATATATATAATATACTATATATATATTATATGCATTAAATATATATCTATACACACTACATAAATATTTATATAAAAATAATATATTACATGTTACTTAAGTAATATATAATATATCATATTCATATAAATATTATATTTATATAATATATTTAACATATATTAAATATATTATATATATATATACACAAAATAAGTATTTGTATAAATATGATATATTACATATTACTTACTTAAGTAATAAGCAATATATATTTATATAAATATTTATTTATTTTATATACAATATAGTTAATATATATTATATATAGTATATATTACATATTATATTATGATACATACAAATATATGTAATATGTAATATATATTTATATAAATATCATGTATGTGTATATATATATAATATATATTTATATAACTATTTATTTATAGTATATTATATATATCATAATAGATGTATGTTATATAATATATAAATAATAGTTTATGTTTTATATACATATTACTTACTTAAGTAATAAGTAATATGTAATATATCATATTTATATAAATATTTATTAAGATATATAATATATTTAATAGATCTGCTGTAAATAGTAATATATAAATAATAGTTTATGTTTTATATACATATATATATTATATTTATTTATATATATATGTATTATATATTATATAATATTATATTAATTGTATAATAAACTATATTATATTGCGATACATTACATATAATAATATATTATATTTATATATAATAATGTATTATATTTATATACATATTATACTATAATTGTATAATAAACTATATTATATTGTGATACATTACATATAATATATATATATATATATATATATATTAATGTATTATATTTATATATATAACATTATACTATATTTGTATAATAAACTATATATGTATAGAAATATATGATATATTACATATTATATTATGAGCTATACAATGTAATATATATATAGAAATATATATTACATAGTATATTATGATACATACAATATAATATATATATGTATAGAAATATATATTACATATTATATTATGAGCTGTACAATATAATATATATATGTATAGAAATATATGATATATTACATATTATATTATGAGCTATACAATGTAATATATATATATAGAAATATATATTACATAGTATATTATGATACATACAATATAATATATATATGTATAGAAATATGATATATTACATATTATATTATGAGCTATAAAATATATATATAGAAATATATGATATATTACATTATTATGAGCTATACAATATAATATATATAGAAATATATGATATAATACATATTATATTATGAGCTATACAATATTATATATTTAATTATTTATATAATATATATAACTACATATATCCAATGTAATATTTATATATAGAGAGAGAGAGATTCCGGTGTCTTAAGTGACTGCAAAGCCTTTGCTGGCTTTCTCATTGAGCCAGCTCCCGGAAGTGACGTCACACCAACACCGGAACTCGAGGCAGCAGCGAGGGTGTGACCAGCCAGCCAGCCAGCGGAAGGCGGCTCACCCTCTCTCACGGGCTTCCTGGTTCTACTTCCGAGGTCAGAGGCTGAGCGAGGGATTGAAGAGCCAGACCGGCCAGGATGCTGATCAAAGTGAAGGTAAAGAAAAGAGGGTTGTGGGTTGTTGTTTGGTTTCCTAGGGGAAGAGGGAAGCTGGGAGTCCCTTTGGGCCTTTCCATCCTTGCCTTGGTGTGTGGTGGGAGAGCTGGAGAGGAAGGCAGAATGTCACAATGGAAGGCAACCCAGGCCTCAAGTGTTGTGTGCTTGGGACCTCCCTCCAGGTGCTTTGGACTCCCACCATTCCTAATTGAGGCCTGGGCCAACTTGGGCCCTCCAGGTGCTTTGGACTCCAACTCCCACCATTCCTAACAGCCTCAGGCCCCTTCCTTTTCCCCAGCCTGAGGCTGTTAGGAATGGTGGGAGTTGGAGTCCAAAGCACCTGGAGGGCCCAAGTTGGCCCAGGCTTGCATTAGACCCTCTAAATATCATATGAGGGACATCTAGCTTGTTCTGAGGCAAGGCAAGGAAACCATTGATTACCAATTTGACACCGTTTTTCTCTTTTGTTGCAGACGCTAACTGGGAAGGAGATCGAGATCGACATCGAACCCACAGACAAGGTATATCCGTTTATTTACTTATTATTTATTTATTTACTTTGCTTCTATACCGCTGTTCTCAGCCCGAAGGCGACTCACAGCGGTTCACAAGACACAGAACACAGCAGAATTCAAACACCAATATAAAGCAGTTAACAACCTAATCTAAAATACAATCAATACACAATTACTACGATAACCATTCAGTGGCGTCTCGTCACTAAAAAACATGATCCAGATTCATCATCCATTGTTCATTCCTATGTCATTACCAGTCGTTGCACTAATTATTCGAACGCCTGCACAAATAACCAGGTCTTTACTTTTTTGCGGAAGACCATTAGAGATGGTACTAATCTAATGTCTGTGGGAAGGGCGTTGCACAGCCGGGGAGCCACCACCGAGAAGGCCCTGTCTCTCGACCCCGCCAGCCGCGCTTGAGAAGCTGGCGGGATCGAGAGCAGGGCCTCCCCGGAAGATCTCAAAGTCCTGGTGGGTTCATAGGCCGAGATGCAGTCGGAAAGGTAGCTTGGGAAACGTTTCAGGGAAACATGACAGATATTGCAGACATGGGCAAACTTCTATTGTTACTTTATTTGATATTTATTTATCGTGTCGTCAGCAACCAGACATTTATGTTACATTTTTAACAAAAACAAACAAACAGACAGAGAAAACACAGAGTTTGCAAGCTTGGTAGTTGATTAAATGTCATTTGACCAGTAGCTGGCCACTTGGAGTACCTCTGGTGTTGCCGCAAGAAGGTCCTCCATTGTGCATGTGGCAGGGCTCAGGTTGCAATACTCTTGTTAGTAAAGGTAAAGGTAGTCCCCTGACATTAAGTCCAGTCATGTCTGACTCTGGGGTGTGGTGCTCATCTCCATTTCTAAGCCGAAGAGCCAGCGTTGTCCGTAGACACCTCCAAGGTCATGTGGCCAGCATGACTGCATGGAGCGCCGTTACCTTCCCGAGTATAAAAAGAGCGGTACCTACTCTTGTTATACTCTTGTTATATATCCTATATTGGTGATGACAGATGTCAAAATTTTTTGTAAGTCCTCGCAAGGTTGGCACACATTGTTGCTGACATATTGGCCCATTCCTCCATGCAGATCTCCTCAAGAGCAGTGATGTTTTGGGGCTGTCACTGGGCAACACAGACTTTCAACTCCCTCCAAAGGTTTTCTATAGGGTTGAGATCTGGAGGCTGGCTAGGCCACCCCAGGACCTTTGTTGCCCTGGCGGTGTGCTTGGCATCATTGTCACGCTGAAAGACCCAGCCACGTTTCATCTTCAGTGCTGTCGCTTTATTAATTTATCGTGTCGGGGCAACCAGACCATTGTATTACATTTCTAACAGAACAAAACAAACAAACAGATAAAAAAACACAAAGTTTGGAAACTTGGTAGTTGTTTAAATGTCCTTTGACCACTTGGAGTGCCTCTGGTGTTGCCGCAAGGAGGTCCTCCACTGTGCATGTGGCAGGGCTCAGGTTGCATTGCAGCAGGTGGTCAGTGGTTTGCTCTTCTCCACACTCACATGTTGTGGATTCCACTTTGCAGACCCATTTCTTAAGGTTGACTCTGCATCTCGTGGTGCCAGAGCGCAGTCTGTTCAGTGCCTTCCAAGTCGCCCAGTCTTCTGTGTGCCCAGGAGGGAGTCTCTCATTTGGTATCAGCCATTGATTGAGGTTCTGGGTTTGAGCCTGCCACTTTTGGACTCTCGCTTGCTGGGGTGTTCCAGCGAGTGTCTCTGTAGATCTTAGAAAACTATTTTTTGATTTAAGTCGTTGACGTGCTGGCTGATACCCAAACAAGGGATGAGCTGGAGATGTCACTGCCTTGGTCCTTTCACTATTGGCTACTACTTCCCGGCGGATGTCAGATGGTGCAATAATTTCTCCAGTGGTGTAGGGTGCAGACACCCCGTGATAATGCAGCATGTCTCATTAAGAGCCACAACCACTGTTTTAGCGTGGTGAGATGTGTTCCAATCTGGGTATCCCAGCAATGGACAAACTTTTGCCATACAAGACTTATCTCGGTATACATGATTCCAAAAGTAAATATTCCTTAAATGACATTTTATGCAATATTTATTTATTTATTTCATATATTTATATCCCTGAGTCCCACAAGGGGGACTCCGCGCAGCCTCACATGAGCATCAGAGGATGGTAACAGCATCAATACCATAAAAATTACAATTCACAATAAAATCATTTTAAAACATTGTACAACATCATCAGTAAAATTTTAACAATAAATTAATAGATTAATAATAATAATAATAATAACAATAATAATAATAAACTTTATTTATACCCCGCTACCATCTCCCCAAGGGACTCGGTGCGGCTTACATGAGGCTGAGCCCACAATACAACAATAAACAATAGCAACTGTAATAGAAAACAATAAATAAACTCATAAGCAGAAAATAAGCAATAAACATTAACAATAACACGACGCATTTAAAAACCTATGGCTGGGCCAAATGTAATATTATTTTTTTTAAAAAAATGCTGGGCATGACAAGGTGACATATAACTAGGATAGAAATTTTGGAGAGGAATGAAGTGTGCAGACAAACTTAGAGCCTGGAGAATCCATGTCGCAAAATCCAAATTTCCTTTTCCTATTGCCACTGGCCTCTAATCGAACGCCTGGCCCCAGAGCCAGGTCTTCAGTTGTCTTCTAAAGGACAGGAGGGAGGTGGCCAACCTGATGTCCTTAGGGAGAGAGTTCCACAGACAGGGGGCCACTGTCGAGAAGACCTTGTCTCTCGTCCCCACCAACTGCGTTTGTGAGAGTGGTGGGATCGAGAGCAGGGCTTCTCCTGACGATCTTAAGCTTCATGATGGTTCATAGCAGGAGATATGTTCAGACAGGTAATCTGGGCCAGAACTGTTCAGGACTTTAAAGATTAAAACCAGCACTTTGAATTGTGCCCAGAAGCTAATCGGCAGCCAGTGGAGCTGGTGCAACAGAGGAGTGGTATGCTCCCTGTATGCAACTCCAGTTAACAAACTGGCCGCCAACCACTGGACTAATTGGAACTTCTGAGAAGTTTTCAAAGGCAGCCCCACATAGAGAGCATTGCAGTAGTCTATTCAGGATGAGCGTGGACCACTGTGGCCTTAGATATGTATCATCTTCCTTAGATATGTATCACCCACACCCTCTCCCTCCCATTCCCCCCACCCTCCTGGAACAGCAGTTCTAAATGATGCCATTGCATTGATTTAACCATGCGAAAAGCCTGGTTCAAAATGCTTTATCTGTTGTCTCTATTTTGTCAATTAGAACAGACCATTTCCTGTACCAGTCTTGTTCTGTATGACTATTCATATACTTGTTTCTCCTTTGATTGATGAAATCATTGGTTATTTATTTATCGTGTCAGGAGCGAACCAAAACAGTTCTATTGCATTAAAAGCAAACAAACAAAATGCAAAGTTTGCAGACTTGGTATTCTATTAAATGCCCTTTGACCAGTAGCTGGCCACTTGGAGTGCCTCTGTTGTTGTTGCAAGAAGTCCTCCCTTGTGCATGTGGCAGGACTCAGGTTGCATTGCAGCATTGGTTATATATTTAGATATGCCCACCAAGTTTCTAAATCCCATCTTGTATTGTCTCTCTAGCCACGGGCCTATATTACGGCTTTCATATGTTTTAGGAATTCTGTCCAATTACTGATATTTTCATTTGCCTCTATAGTGGGAGTCATGAATCTGGCATTATCCCACATTATTATTTTCCCCATTATTTCTTCCATTACATTTCTTATTTTAGTTCTGAATTTTTCTACAATGGGAAAACTTGGGCCCACCAGGTGTTTTGGACTTAAATTCCCACAATTCCTTTTTAACAAAATGTGTTGTGTGGTATTCCTAGGCCACATAAAGTAGTGTGAAAACACTAGCTTGATGAAATAAAACTTTGGTTTACTCTCTTTCCCCTTCCTCTCCCCTTCCTGCAGGTGGAACGAATAAAGGAGCGAGTGGAAGAGAAAGAAGGGATCCCACCTCAACAACAGCGGCTTATCTATAGTGGCAAGCAAATGTTAGTTTGATCAAGAAGGGCTCTTGATCATGCATTCTGGAAAGTGCACTTTTATAAGTGGAGCATTTGGATAGCTCATTTGTTTATTTTATGTAATGTTTCATTTATTATTACTCCTTACACAGGGCGTCTTAGGATAGGGAAAGCATGAGCCACAAGCGACATGCAACTCTTGAAGTCAACTTTTGTGGTTACTGAGGCCTCCCACCATTCCTCCTGGTGCCCTGTCCCAATGTTTCTTTTAGTTTCAGTGTAGTTTTCAGGCAATTTTTGCCCTAAGGTCACACCAAATGCCTTTCAAACATGTGAAAACACAGAAAAACAGCCCCATTCAGCCACGCAACCACTTCTGAAGCCTATATTATCTCCAGATTCTCTCTTGAAATGATCACCAGCTGTGACATGTTAGCACCCCTTTCAACGTTTTGAAGACTGCAGAGAAAAGGAGATATAGTTGGCCCTCTGTATCCATGGATTCAATGATCCACAGCACAAGCGTGCATTTTTAAAATACCATGGGAGATTTTTGCTTTGTTTTGGCTACAAAAGACCCAATTAAATCCCTACAAGCCCTCCAAAGTTATAAAAGGATGGAGAAATAATTGTAAACCTTTTTAAAAAAATCCTCTGTAGATAAAAATGCCCAGAGTGACTCCAAGACAGAGAGGCAAAATGAAAAATGCTTCTGCTGCTTCGATTTCATCTTGAGAAATACAATAGGCAAACATATTTCCCTCCTGTAGGTATAAATACCTAGGAGATAGGTATGTTTACTTTGGAGAAGAGAAGGTTGAGAGGAGATGTTTAAATATTTGAAAAGTTGACAGCTTGTTTTCTGCTGAAACAGAGACTAGGACACAATAGAGCAATAGATTCAAATTGCAGGAAAAGAGTTTCATCTTTTCCTGCAATTTCCTGTAGATATTGAAAAGCATGGGGGAGAGAACAGAACCTTGTGGGACCCAACAGGTCAATGGTCAGGGATCCAACTAGGTGTCCCCCAGCATCGCCCCAGTTTCATAGAATCATACAGTTGGAAGAGGCCTCATGGACCCCATTCTGCCAAGAAGCAAGAAAATCACATTCAAAAAACTCCTGACAGATAGCCATCCAGCCTCTGTTCAAAAGCTTCCAAAGAAGAAACCTCCACCATACTCCAGGGCAGAGAGTTCCACTGCTGAACAGCTCTCCCAGTTAGGAAGTTCTTCCTAATGTACAGGTGGAATCTCCTTTCCTGTCATTTGAAGCCATTGTTCCATTGCGTCCTAGTCTCCAGAGGAGCAGAAAACAAGCCTGTTCCTTCCTCCCTATGACTTCCCCTCACATATTTATACATGGCCTTCATCATGTCTCCTCTCAGCCTTCTCTTCCAGCTCTTTCAGCCACTCCCCATAGGGCTTGTTTTCCTCGCCCTTGATCCCTTGAGTCACCCTCCTCTGGACACATTCCAGCTTAGAGTCAGCATCTCCCTTCAATTGCAGTGCCCAGATCATGCGCGGTGTGATTCCAGGTGTGGTCTGACTAAGGCAGAATAGAGGGGTACCATGACTTCCCTGGATCTAGGCACTAGATTTCTATTTATGCAGGCCAAAATCTCATTGGCTTTTTAAATTATTATTCCCCCTAAAAAACTTTCTAATGGTAAAAACTGTTTGGCAGAGGAATAAGCTGCTGCCTGGGAGTCTGGTAGAGTTTCCTTCTCTAGAGGGTTTTAAGCAGGCGGATGGCCATCTGTCTAGAGGGCTTTGATTGTGTCTTCTTGCATTGCAGGAGGGGGTTGGATGAGGTGGCTCTTGGGGTCTTCTCCAGCTCTTATCATTCTGTAATTCCAGCCCCACTTTTCTCTCTCTTTAGGAATGATGAAAAAACTGCGGCTGACTACAAGATCCAAGGTGGATCCGTTCTCCATTTGGTCCTGGCACTGCGCGGAGGAGGCCTGCGATGATGGAGCATTTCCCGTCCCCACCTTCTCCTCTGGAGCACCCCTCTCCCCTCCCCACAAAGGACAGGTTGAAATGTGGGAAGCCATTAGGCCTGCACTCCCGCTGTCCTTTTTCCCCCTCCGACTTCCAGGAAGAATGACCGCTGCCTCCTGCAAGGCTTTGTTTACGGGAGGCAATAGGTGCGGAGGGGAGGCCGCCTTCAGTTAGCGCAATGGGGATCGGGACTCCTTGCGGGTCCCAATTTCTCCAACTGCATTTCCACCTTAGCGACTTCTTAAACCGCTGCTTGCTTCACGGTGGTAAAGGTTTATTTTCTTCCCTCCTCTGCACCCTTGTTCTAGTGTCTCCTCCCCTTTGTTGGAATGGCTGAGTGTTTAATAAAGGTGTTATACAACCGTCTTTGAAATGCATTGCATCTTCAGTGTGTGTGTGTGTGTTGAATCTGGTAATGTTGAACCCAAAATAGGTTGTAGAGCAAGCATGGGTAAACTTCAACCCTCCTGGTGTTTTGGACTTCAACTCCCACAATTCCTAACAGCTGGTAGTCAAACATTGCTTCTGGTAAGTCAGAGCACAGTCCAGGGTAACAACCAGGTATTTGGGTGTGCTGCAATGCTCCAGTGGGATTCCTTCCCAGGTAATCCTCAGAGCTCAAGGTGCTTGTCTGTTCTTAAGGTGAAAAAGCACACGTTTACATTTTAGATAGATTAGGAATCCCCTGATGTTGCCTGTAATAGCCGTAAGAGCAGCTAAAGCAGTGGTTCTCAACCTGAGGGTCCCCAGATGTTTTGCCCTACAACTCCCAGAAATCTCAGCCAGTTTACCAGCTGTTAGGATTTCTGGGAGTTGAAGGCCAAGACATCTGGGGACCCACAGGTTGAGAACCACTGACCTAAAGCTTCAGAGAGCTTCTGATCAACCATTTTAAAGCTCCCTACTTGGGCGGTGATGGCATGATCATCAGCATAGATGAAACACTCTGTCCCTTCTGGCAGTAGCTGGTCATTTGTGGAAATGTTAAACATAGATGGAGCAAGAATGCTCCCCTGAAGTAGGCCGTTCTTCTGTTTTCGCCATCTACTTCTCTGGCCCTGAAACTCAACAAAAAAGCTCCTGTTTTGTAGCAGATTTCCTATAAAGTGGGTGAGGTGGTAGTCCTTTGTGATATTATAATTTTTTCTGAGGAGAAGGTGATAAATATAATTATAAATGCAGACAATAACAATAAATATAATACAAATATAACAATAACAACAAAAATAATTAAATAATAAATATATATATTCTACCATGTTAGTGTTTGACCATGGCTGTGTCACACACTCTCAGACCCAGACGTTGGAGTCCAAAACACCAGGAGGGCCAAAGTTTGCCCGTTCCTGCTCTACACTGCAGAATTAATGCAGAATGTAAATGATGTGGCTCAATGCTATGGAATCCTAGGAGTTATAGTTTGCAAGATCTTTAGCCTTCCCTGCCAAAGGAGGCAGGTGCTGCAGCTCTCCATATTCCATGGCATTCAGGCATGGCAGTTAAAGTGCTATCAAACTGCATTAATTCTACAGTTTAGATACAGATACAGTCCCCATGAAGAAAAGCTAAAGATCAAAGTAAGTAGCAAGCAAAAAATAACAAAAAAGGCTTTTTTCCCAATGCATTTGAGGCAAGAGAACTGCCAAGGAGCGAATCAGATTGTTATCCAATAAGGATGTCAAATGCTAAAAGATAATAAGGCAGAGCTATTCAACGCTTTGGTTGAGGTTATTCCCCCCCCCCCAAAAAAAAAAAAAGCTGTTCTATGCAGCAATAGACAGCAAGGTTAATACTTAGGCGATCCCTCGAAGCTCAAAGATAATGGTCCTCCGTGTGTAGTGTCTTGGCAGTGGGTTCGTAGCTGGCTGTGGAGTCCTATTTTTGATCTGAGTGTTCTCCGACAGTGAGGACATCGGTTTCCGGGTGGAAGGCAGTCCCAGTTGGCTTGATGCACCACCTTCTTGGCACGTTTCTCCCTTTCATCCTCCATTTTTGCTTCTTCGAATTCCGCAGCACTGCTGGTCACAGCTGACCTGTTAAAGCGCACAAGGGCCAGGGCTTCCCAGTTCTCAGTGTCTAAGCCACAGTTTCTAATGTTGGCTTTAAGCCCATCTTTAAATCTCTTTTCCTGTCCTCCAATATTACGTTTCCCTTTCTTGAGTTGGGAATAAACTAACTGCTTTGAGAGATGGTGATCTTTGGGCATTTGGACAATGTGGCCAGTCCAGTGGTGGCTGCCAAGGGAGCGGAAATGGTCAACATTTTCTAATGTTACACCATTAAGCTGTATTTGTAGGTCTTTATCTGAATGTGTACAGACTATGTTGTCATCAGCATATTAGAGCTCTAAACAGCAAAGTGAGTAGATAAATAGGAACCGCATTAAAAGCAGGCAGGTATTTTAAGCATAGCTTTTCAATCAGAAAAAGGAGGAAAGCATACAAAGAAATCTCTACAGATGTTCCGGTCCCCAAACACTCTCGACTTTATTCAGAAAAATGCTGCACTCGCAGAGCTCAGGCAGTGTATTTCAGTTTCAGTGTTGACTTTTTTGGACAGGAGGCTGCCAAGGGAGTTGAAATGGTCAACATTTTTAATGTTACACCACTAAACTGTATTTGCTTCTGAATGCGCACAGACTATGTTCTCATCAGCATATTAGAGTTCTAAACAGCAATGTGAGTAGATAAATAGGAACCGCATTAAAAGCAGAGAGGTATTTTAAGCATAGCTTTTCAATCAGAAAAAGGAAGAAAGCATACAAACAAAGAAAGCTCTTTGGCAAGGAAATGAAGCGACAGCACCCCTCTGTGGCCGGAATCGAGCACAGCCTCCAAAGATGCCGAAAGATGGGAAAGCTTATACATATACCTCTGTCTGTTGTCTGTCTGGCCATTATATAATTGGCATTGAATAATTGTTGTACATGTGTTCAATAATCCGCCCTGAGTCCCCTTTGGGGTGAGAATGGCGGAATATAAATACTGTAAACAAATAAATAAACATATACCTGCTGCTTTAGGTATATGTTTATTTAAGCAGGCCAGATGGATTATATTATATTATATGTCTACATTATATGTTTACACCAGGCCTGGGCAAACTTGGGCCCTCCAGGTGTTTTGGACTTCAACTCCCACAATTCCTTTTTTATATATATATATAATAAATTTTTATTCAGAAAAAAGGAAAATTTTTACAATGCAGATAAAAAAAAAGAGGGGGTTAGGGGGCGGGATAATTTAGGGTAAAGGGGGGTAGGGAGAGGGTTGGGGTTGGGTAGACGTGAGAGGTGTGGGGGGATAGACGGGGAGGGTAAGTATAGGGAGGCGAAGGGTGTAGGAGGGGAGGGGGGAAATTAAAATGTTGACTTCCCAAGCTCCTTCCGATCTCTGGATTTTCCATCTTCAGTTTTTTTTTCTGTGTCTCCGAAGTCTCTTCTTAGTTGGTCACTGTTTATACTTTGGACAAATCTATCATCAATGGGATGTTCTTTTCTTTGAAGTAATCCTTTAGTCCTGACCAATTCGTCTTATTTTTTGTGTTTTCTAGTCTCTGGGATAGCGAGTCTATTTGAACTATCTCTAAAACTTTGGTCATCCAATTATCTATTTCTGGAGTTTCCTCTAATTTCCAGGTTTTTGCCAGTAGAATTCTCGCGGCTGTACTAAGCAGGAATAATATTCTCTCTTGGTTTTTATTGAAATCTGAATTTATTATACCTAATAGGTAGATGTCGGGGGATCTAGGAAATTTTTTCTTTAGTATTTTTTTTGTGATATTATGAATCTCCTTCCAATATTTTTTAACTTTTTTGCATTCCCACCAGACATGAATGAAAGTTCCTTTTTCTTTCCTACATTTCCAGCAGGTGCTTGAAATTCCTTTATTAAATTTTGCCAGTTTTTCGGGCGTGTAGTACCACCGGTAGTACATCTTGTACCAATTTTCCTTTATATCACTTGCTACCATAGATTTTATTTTATTATTCCATATGTTTTCCCATTGACTCATTAGTATGCTATGGCCTAAATCCTTTGCCCATTGGATTTGGCAATTTTTCACTTGTTCGTCTTCCGCTGACCATTTTAATAGTTGTTGGTAAAGTATTTTAGTTAATTTTTTCTCCTTTTCTAGTATTAATTCCCATGTTCCTTTCTCTTGATTAAAGCCAATTTTCTCGTCTTCTTTAAAACCTTGTTTTATTTGGAAGTACTGTAACCATGTAATTTTTTCGTTTATTACTCTGAGTTCTTCTAGGGATTTTAAATTGGGTTGCTGTCCTCTTGTTTCTTTTAATATTTGATGGTAGGTTAACCAGTGTTTACTGCCCAATTCCCTCTTATGTCTCGCTTCAATCGGTGATATCCATTTTGGAGTTTTACTATACCATCTAATTTTGTACTTCTCCCAGGTCTTAATCAGTGCGGCCCTAATGAAATGGTTATTAAAATTCTTCTCAATTTTTGTTTTGTTATACCATAAATAGCCATGCCAACCTGTTCTCAGGTCATGGCCTTCAATCGTTAATAGGTCTTCGTTTCTTAAGGTTGCCCATTCTTTTACCGCTACGAGGTTACAAGCCTCGTAATATAACTTTAGATTAGGGAGCCCTAGACCTCCTCTTTTCTTTTCATCTGTTAGGATTTTGAAACTAATCCTAGCTTTTTTGTTTTTCCATATGAATTTTAGAATTTCTGTATTCCATTTTTTGAATAGATGGTCATTCCTTAGAATCGGAAGTGTTTGGAAGAGGAAAAGAAGGCAGGGCAGAACTGACATTTTGATTATAGCTATTCTTCCCAAAAGTGAGAAGTTTTGATATTTCCATTTGTCTAGATCCTGCTGTATTTTTTTCCATAATGGAATATAATTGTGTTTTATTAGATTAATATTGCTTTGCGATAAGTATATCCCTAAGTATTTTATCTTATTTTCGATTTTTATTCCTGATATTTCTTGAAGGGTTTCTTTTGATTTTTTGTCTATGTTTTTTACTAATATCTTTGTTTTTTGTTTGTTCAGTTTGAAGCCTGCTAGTCTCCCGTAGGTTTCAATTTTTTGTATCCAATCATTTATAGTCTTTATTGGGTCCTCTACTATGCAAACCACATCGTCCGCATATGCTCTTAATTTATATTGTTTCTTTAACACCTGCATGCCCTTTAGTTTCTGATCCAAATTTATGTCTCTAATTAGTGTGTCTATCACTAAAATAAAAAGGAGGGGGGAAAGTGGACATCCCTGTCTTGTTCCTTGTGTGATATTAATTTGGGGGTCTGTCTCTTGGCCGTTTATTATTAATTTTGCGCTTTGTGTGCTATATATGGCGTTTACTGCATTTTGGAATTTATAGCCGATATCAA